CCAGTGGTCATGGAGGCCTGTTCAATTGGACATCTCACAGATGATCCTTGCCACCAGGGTAGTTCCTCTGCAGAGCACCATGGTATTTTACCATTCACCTGTCTCAGTGCCAGTGACCAAGAATTAGTGAAACTGCGCACTTCGTGTCGTGCTGGTGATATTGAAACTTTGTGCAAATACCATAGCAGGAAATACCTCCAATTTTATGAACGGAATCAGTTCAAGTGCTCAGATCCCTTCAAGTGTCACAAGAAGACTGTAAAGAGAAGCCAGTGACACACAGTGTCAGGTATACACAGTGACAACAACCCCTTGTTTCCTTACCGTACACGTGCTGTGTGTGTACCCATGAAAGCCGAGTTTCCTCCATCGACAGTGATTTTGAAATCATTGTTCGTCAGATAAGGGAGTCGTTAAATCGACTGCCAGCAATCGCCGATATCATCGCCGGCTATTGTAAGAGACGCGATTGCCGGTCGACTTCAATTGATAATCGCAATAAAGATGCTCTCCGTTGTAATTACAATGAGGAAAACTGAAGCCGGATGAAAGGCGATGAAGTTCTCGTCGCATTCTTTCGAGGCCGACAGCGTCATTCGCGCGGACTCGGAATCGATATGCCTTTCCGATTTCCTTTCTTCCATTGGGAAAAAAATGAAATTACTTCTTTTGAGGTAGTGCCTAAGGAAGTACAGCGGTTAAGAAAAGCCCAGATATTTAAAAGACCGCATGCTAAAGATCAGTCGTTCAGTGGTTCCCTCCCTAGATAACAAATCATTTCTTCCTCTTTGGTTTGATTTCATCTGGAAGCTCAATATCGTCGTGTGTTTCTGCACGCAGGTGATATCTTCACATCGTGCTACCTCGGATATTATTATCCGGATATCTACGAAAATTATACTGGTGCGCACATCCAATGGAAAGGCTGGAATGCAACGATGAACGATACTCTGTTCGACGAAGTTTTTCCAACCGAAGAAGCCCTGGACCGTTTCGAATATCGACGCCTCTGCTTCCTCGCCCTCCCCAGCCCAGCGGAAGGTATCCATTGCGGCCAGCGACATCTGCTGACCCACGGAGATAATTCGTACTGAGCATGCGCGCTTCCGTTTCTTGCAGGTCCCGCGTCGTGGAAGGTGAAGCAACGGACCTTAGATAGCGATGTCTCCTCGGTCCTCTGCGAGAGCATCAGTGAGTTCCCTTCTTCCCCACTGTCGGTAGCTTTCTGGTCTCTCGCGTTTGAGGGTCTGCAAGCGCATGTGAGTGTAGACCGACCCTGACCCGCCTGTAAATTCCTCCTGCTTCTGCAATTGCCAGACTCCGATTGCATTTACGATTGGCATCAACGTTCGATCGGACACTAGTCGCAGAAACGGCGGTATTGTGTGGAAAGGAAGAGAGATAATCTTTCCTTTTCATTCTCGAATGATGCAATTTTACGCAAGACACAGGCAGTGGTCCATGCGTTGAATTTCTCCAGATTGCATAGCAGTGAGTCTTCCATGAGAAACAAAATCCGACCGAATCTCGTTCTGGTTCTCTGTGCCGCATGCATGCACTGTAAAGAACTCTTTCGGGAAATTGAGAAAAGCATAGGCTTACGTGATACGTATATACAGTACGTGAATCTTCCGAAAAGTCCAAATATTGGTTCATAAGTCATATGTTTCTCGACATAATCTCATGACATTTTCAGGATTTTTATTATTATTCAGAATTTTATCTCCTCAAAGCAGTTACAATGAGTGTCATGCATTTCTTACACCGTGGTACCAGACCGTGGAAGTCAGAATGAGGTCATTAGGCCTGGTCCAGGAGCGCTGCTTTGCAGGCATTGTTCAAGGAGTCGGCGTCCTCAAACCGTTGTTGACGCAAGCTATACTTAACCTAGGGAAAATGGAAGAAGACGTAGGGGGACAGATCCGGCGAGTAAGCCGGGTGTACAAGCACATTCCAGTCTCAGCCCGCTATTGCCTCCTGCACTTCTGCTTTCGCTTACGATGAGGAACCGCTTTATCTTGCAGCATGAGAATGTCTGTTGCCAGCGGATGGGGGCGTTTATTGAGGATGGTTTGCCATAAAAATTGCAGAGGATATGGAGATAATAGTTTCAGCTGGTTGTTTGGTTTTGGGGTGCTACAGATGATACCGTGCGTGTCAAAGAAGGTGATAAGCATCACCTTCAAGGCGAACCACGTCCCGGAGGATGTGCAGACTGTAACTGGGATGTGTTCCCCCACCGGCTTTCTCGCCGAATCTGTCACCCTATGACTTCTTCCTCTCCAAGGTTAAGGAGAGCTTGCGCCAACAACGGCTTGAGGACGTCAATTCCTTCAACGATGCCTACAAAGCATCGCTCCAGGACCTGATTGAAGTAGGATGACCTCTTGGCTTCTACGGTCTGGTGCCATGGTGTAAGAAATGCATGGCGTTCATAGTTGACTGCTTGATTAAGTAACATTTTTAAAACGTTTCTGAAATTTTCATTAGATTATGTTAAGAAATAAATTACTTATGAACCAATATTTAAGGCATTTCAGATGACCCCTCCCCCATCATAGCCAAGAACACCGCTTCTTCAGGAATTTTTTTTCCTTCATTTCAGTGGAGGATTCTTTCTATTCCCGAGTCCTCTCGAAACTTGAAGCGATAGTCCACTTTCCGATCTTTCTAACTTTTGTTTCAGTTTCATTTTGCTGGGACAAGGAGGGGGAGGAGTGGTTCGAGGCGGGCGATATAGTGACGAGAACTTGTGAATGCACCAGAAATGAGACGTGGCGCTGCACGGAAGAGGACTTGGAGTTTATCGAGGGATGCGCTGGCGGATGGCTGGATCCACTCACCGGATGCGTCTGTTCCCCAATTTACTCTGTCTATTTTTTTTGCAGAGAGGCAAAGGATGGTTATAGGCACTTTGCAGGGAAGGGAAGAGTTCGGGGGAATAGGCATGTAGGATTGCGCTGCTCTCTGAAAAATACGCTTCAGCTGGTGATATTTTTCCAACAACGGATAGCGATCTGAACGAGAATGGAAATCCATTTTAGCTGAGCAAAAAGGGTTTTATACCCACGGGAACGGTAGCAAAAGGGGATGCATCCTTCTAATTAAAGACCTTCTAGTGCACGTGACCAACCCAACACTTCTTCGCTTGAACAATTTGGTCTGTGAGAACCAAAGTGTTGGCGTTTCTCCCATTCAGACATTGCGGACTCTAATTTTGTCCCTTCAGCAACATTCTGTTTAGTCTTTTATGCTGATTTTTTTTTAATTTTATTATCTGAACGAAATTGTGAGGCAAGGTACACCCTAGGGTGAAATTCTAAAAACTATTAACTTGAAATCCGTTGTAAATCGATGCAGCTTAACGAGCTCAATGCGCTGGAGACGCTGAAAAACCTGACGTCGGAGATCGAGAGCAAGGAGAACCTGTCGGGGGAGGAAATTGAAGCCGTCACGGATTTCTTGGGTCCCCTGCTAGATGCCTTCCTCAACGGCCTGCAGGACGGCCAGGGGGATTCAGTCGGCCCGTTGGAGTTTCTCCAGAGTCTGACCGTAGCTGTGGACCTCACCCTGGATGCCTTCGAAGGGTGGCTGAATATCACGGAGGTGGGTTCAGCGATCCACCATCTGTAATTGAATTAATTAGTGCATCGTTACTTGCCTATGGAAGATGGTGATGCCGTTGCAAAGGTAAGATTTTGTTACGGATGTGCGGCTGCATTTTCATATGTGCATGAAGGTTTCCCTTGCATTCACACACTGGGAGGACATATTGCAAAGTGAGATAAAACTTGTAGACCGGAATCTCGTATATGCATTTGGAGTTTTAAATTACTTTTGAAATTTTGATTGTTGAGACTATGGTGCAAATTTTCACAAGAAGAACCAATCTCTCAATTTAAAGTATTTCGGGTCATAGAGAGTGAAATGCTATATATCGGTCTTCGTCGTGAATCGCTCTGAAACGTGCATAGCAGGGGACCCGGAGCGAGACGTTCTCCTCACTGACTGAAACGATGGCAAAGGCGGGACTGGAAATTGCCTACTTTCTGTTCAATCATCACGACGAAGAGCTGGCTTTCCACATGTCCAAGAAACACCTTGTGGTGGAAGCCTGGGGGAAGCAGAAGAACTCGGGTTCCTTCGTCTTCCCTAACGGGGGGGGCCACACCTATGCCGAACTCCCAGATGGTTTCCAGGATCAACTGGGGGGAGGAGATCACTATTTCGTCATCGGTGTCCTCTATGACGTTGAGGACTTGAATTCCCTCCTACCCTCAGATAACTCCTCGTGAGTGTTTCCTTGTTAATATTTGAGTCCAATCATCCATTATGGTAAAGGCACCAGTTTGAGGACGGGCGCCTATTTGTGGACAGTTTTGAGTATTTTTTTGCCATTTCACAAAATTCACGCCGAAAATTTATTTCCTCAAATGTTCCATGTTTTGCAAATGCCTGTCAACTACCAAATAAATGCATAACCATCAACATAGTGAACTTCGACATTTTCGTTAAGTTTTTGGCATAGCACCTCTGAATTCCTCAATTTTTTCATTGATCTTTCGTAACAGGACATCAGTGAAGATGAATAAGACTGCTGTACATATCTCATGCCCATATTTTTCTATTCAGCCAATGCACGGGCATAATTGTTGACAAAAACTGGTGTCCACCAACTAGGTCAGTGGATGTCCACAAATTGCAACCAGGCCGTCCATAAATAGGAACCACGTGAAAATCTACACATATCCATTTAAACAGCTATTGTTGGAAAGGCATATTTTCAATATATTTTTGGGGGGTATGGGCGTCAAACTACGATGAGTCGCCTTCAATTGAAACCAATCAAGCGGTTTCTCGGCCAACCAAGCGGCCGTGATGCAATTTTCAAGGGGAAAATTTCCGTAACCTTCTACAAACATTCTACAAACTGGTGCCGTTACCCTAAATGTAGTTATGTGGATACCAATTCTCAAAGGTTTCACCTTTCTTCAATCTCAACGGCGCCTCAACGGCGCCTCACCATCCCCCCACCTTCCCCCTTTCTCTAACACTAACGTTAGGCCAGGCCTAACAGACGGACAGCCTTCGGGTCAGACCTAGGCATACCTTTTTTCGTTCAAAAGATACTCAATCTTCGAGGATTGAAAAGGCCTATTAGGGCCTATTAGGCTTATGAGAATTAAACCCTGGTATTCGAGACACCTCGTTGAAGAGGTGTACCGTTCAGCCATTTGCAGGACTATTCATGGCCCATTTAAAGGAAAACGTCAAACATTCGAATTTCCCAAATTTCATTCATATTGGTATTCTCAAAGAGGAATACGAAAAGTAGAAACTTCACAGCGGGAAGGGGTTCAAAAAAAGGTAATAGGGTCTACCAAAGCCTATTGCTAAGCACTTCAAACTGAAGATTCAATTGCTTCTTGACTTTCGCAAATTCCGCTATCCATTCTTCGCATTTCTCCTCGGCTTCTCAGATTCGGTGAGGAGATGAAGACGAACTCGTGGTTACTCAGTCTCGCTGTGAGACACGATCAGCAGCTGCAACTGGAGAAGCCCTTGCAGCTCACATTCATGAACGAGGAACCACCGAGAGTTCCACCTTATCGGAAGGGCTGGTGGGAAATCCACGAGGGGGAAAGTCCGACCTTCATGTCTCAAAGTCATCTGTGTACCTTCTGGAACATGCAAGAGTAAGCATATACCGCATGCGCGACTATATGGTATTTGTCGTTCATACAAGAAATCCATTCACATTCGATAGAAAAAGAAATAAAATTTTAATGTAGTAGCAACATTTGCACACAGGTTGAAAGCAAAGGGGCTATACGTATGATTTCCACTCCTGTATAGTGAGCGTTGGGACGATGAGGGATGTAGAATGGTTTCAACGGGCAGGGATCAAACGATCTGCGAGTGCTCCCATCTCACCAACTTCGCGGTCCTCATAGACATCAACGCACAAGCTGTGAGATTCCTCATCCATGGTTTCGATGGCTTAAGTGAGGCACAGACTAGAACTAGGTTCCAACGTGAATTTGAATAAATATGCAGCCGAACGAGACAAGCACATTGGAGACGTTGAAGAACTTGACGTCTTGGATCGAAAACGAAGTGGAACTGTCGGGGGAGGAAATTCAAAACATAGTTAATTCATTGGCTGAGCTGTTGGATGACTTCCTCGTCGACCTACAAAACGGCCAGGTGGACCCATCCGACCCGAAGGAGTTCCTTCTGATTCTGACCAAAGCTGTGGACCTCACCTTAGATGCTTTCCAAGGATGGCTGAATATAACGAAGGTTGGTTTCCCGCTGTTCTATCTAAAGTTGTCTTAACTTGTGCATCGTTCTCAACTTAGGGAAGATGGGAATTCAGTTTCAAATTTATGGTTTTGCTTGGGATGTGTGTCCTTATTTTTTTGTATGCAAGAGATTTTTACCTGCGTTCGCATCCCAAAAGGCCTTATTGTGAGGAAGGATAGAATATGGAGTCCCAAATCTTTGATCTGTTATTGTATTTCTTCCGTTGTTGAAAAGTAATTATGAGACAATGGCCCAAAGGTTGACCAGTACAACCTCTCCCTAAAATTTTCCATGGTTTGAAGCAAAGAGAGTGAGCTGTTCTATGTCGGCGTCCGTCGTGAATCACTCTGAAGCCCGTATTGCAGGGGGTCCGGAGCGAGACGTTCTCCTCACTTACGGAGACACTGGCAAAGGCGGGACTGGAGATTGTTTTTTCCATGTTCGACGGGTTTGACGAAGAACTAGCTTTCAACGTGTCCAGGGATCATCTTGTGGTGGAAGCCACGAGGAAGCCGATGAACTCCTCGGATTCCGTCGTTTTCCCTAAAGAGAGGGGGCACACGTACGCGGAGCTCCCGGCTGGTTTCCAGAATCAACTGGGGGGAGGAGATCACTATTTCGTCGTCGGTGTCCTCTACGACGTTGAAGACTTGAATTCCCTCCTACCCTCAGATAACACCTCGTGAGTGTTTCCTTGTTCACATTTTAAAGTCCAATCGTCCACTATATACTGGGTGTCCCAAAAAACCTCCCGAACTTCGTGCCTGCAGACAGGTCACTATGCTAAGCATCGTCGTGAAATTTTTTGTGCCATACCAAATATATGTAGATAGTTTCAGGAAAATGTAAATGATATTCCTTTCCCTGAACATGAGTAAGAGTTCTTTCCGTGCAAGTCGTGAAATGAGCAAGTGCGCCAGCGCGTTTGCCGACGCACTGCCTCGGTGGGCGAACGTCGGAGGATGCATCCATTGAGCGAGCATTTCATCGAACATTTCTTTCATTGAGGTCAGGCGCGTTTCTTTGCACAATCGTTCCTTTGACATTGAAAAAAATTGTTATTCGTGTATTTTACTACCAATTTCGATGAAATATTTGTTACATCTGTTACGACTGTAAATATTGCATGCAAAAGTCTGAAAATTTCATGTCAATAACTCATGTGGCACACCGTTTGCAGGCGTGTAAATTTCGGAAAGTATGTTAGCCTGCGTCCGCAGAACTCGATGGTTCCCCTGCCCCTATTGCTAGGGAACAGTTTGATCTGCGGAAACCAACCAACTATATTCCATTTCCTGCGCGTCATTGCTGAGGAGTTAGCTGGAGAGTGGATAACTATCTCGAAACGGAAGAAATGCGATATTACCTTAGAGAGAAAACTTAAGGAGGTAAGATAATAGTATGATTTGAGGTCTTTGCTGGATTTCTTGTGAGGTTTAACCTATACAATCAAGTGTTGAATCAATTTGACAGTAGGACATTTGACTGGATCTCTGCCTCCATTTTCTTGATGTGCTTATCGACACAATAAAAGTAGTTTTAGACAATTTTTCCAGTCCGCGGCTCTATTCGCGACGATACCATTTTATTCAAGGAGCAGTAATGCCCATGAACCCCATTCCAGCAGAATAATAATAATAATAATAATAATGGTTTATTGAAGATCAGTACTGTTAGTGCATAAACAAATTGGTATCCATCGTCATTTTTGGTGGTGAAATTACGAAATCATTGAGTCAAGGATATATGAGGTGAAGTGAAGTGGAGATGTTGGGTTAGGTGGATTATGCGATCAAGAGGCGGGTCATATAGGGGACTGCTGATTCGTAGAAGCGTTGGGTTTTGCACTTGAATTCCATCAAGAGGTGAGAAATGTTACGTCGCAAGGTCATTGAGGGCATCTGCCGGAGGGGGGCAAGACAACGAGATGGGTTGGCTAGTAGGGCTTGGGCATATTTTAACGTGAGCTTCTTTCGCCTGTCTACCAGAGATGGGAACTGAAGAGTAGATAGAGCCTACTTATATGACGTAAATTCACTCCCAAGGATGAGCCGAAAAGCGCGCTTCTGGACTAGCTCAATTGAATTTGCCAAATTGGTGGTCAGTGAGCTGCTCCAGGCAGGGGAGGCGTATTCTAGCACTGGGACGATGTACGAGGACCAAACAGCAAGTAAATCTTCACGCGGCGCTCCAAAGGATTTTAAGATCTTGAGCATGAACAATCGTCTTGATGCCTTGGCTACGATCGCCTTGGTGTTTGCGTTCAAGTGGATCGTCCTGGATCCACACACCCAAAATGCGAATGCAGGTCTCTTTCGCCAAAACATGGCCTACAATATGGAGGGTATGATGGATGGGGAGGGACTTGGTGAAGCAGAACTGTATCGTTGTGGACTTGTTAGGGTTAAGTTTCATATTGTTAGCATGGGTCCATTCCTCTTGTTGCAAGAGGGCAGGCTGGAGATCGGGGATGGAGTTCTTTGGGATGGGCCACCATCATGGTTTTGTCGTCGACGTACTTGAAAACTTGGACACCAACTTGCACGTCGTCATTGACCATCACGAACAGTAAGGGGCCCAACACTGTGCCTTGGGGGATGCCACATGTGAACGGGAGGGAATCAGAGAGGATCCCGTTGTAGCGTGTACGCTGGGATCTTTTACTTAGGAATGACGCTAGCCAGGTTATTATGCTAGCATCTCTCTCAAGTAGGAACATTTTCTTCAGGAGAATATTATGATCTACCGTGTCAAAAGCTTTGCTGTAATCAACAAGTACGCAAGATGCTGCAAGACCAGCGTCGACGTGTGTATGGACTTAGTGGAGGAGGTCAACGAAATGCCTATACGGTTTCGGTATTGAGATTCATGAAGCTTGGAGATCGTTTCGCTCATCCGTCGAAGGATAATTTTTTCCAGGATCTTGCACGGGGTACATGTGAGTGAAATGGGGCGAAGATCGTTCAAGGACGAGGGAGGGCTTTTCTTTAGGATCGGGGCAACGATAACCTCTTTCCATAAAGAGGGTACTGTTCCCGCTTGGAGAGAAGCATTGAAAATGTCACATAAGGGTGTTGCGAGTTCAGCAGCGATATCCGTGTAGATCCAGGTTGGGATATTACCAGGGCCTGGGGCGGAGGACTGCTTAGTTTTCCTTAGCTCATGGTACACCTCAGGAACAGAGATTAAATGGGGGGGAAAGGAAGGGAGAAAGTCCTGGAGTTGGGATGCGTTTAGGGAAGATAGTGCCTTGCAGGGCTGGGACAAATATGAGTTTATTGGTTTCGCAGCCTCCTTCGTGTCTTGTCCAGCAATTTCAGTGATGTGCGAAAAGGTGGAGGCTGGTCGGGGCATTCCGCAAATGGACTTAACTCTGTTGTGCCACTTCTTTGGGTCAGACGTCCGAAGTAGGCGGATCTTGGTCTGATAAAATGTGCGCTTTGCGTCGGAGATCTTTTGTTTTACCAAGATGGTCAGTCGACGATGTTCTGGGTAATGCTTGGAGTGGAAGGCATGCGGAGAACGGAGGCAGATAAGTTGTTTAATTTTTGCAGACATCCATGGTTTCTCTCGCGAACTGATGCGGATTCTCTGGGTGGGGAAACATCGAAGGACTTAATCTTGGAGTGCTAGTGTGAGAAGATTCACTTTAGCGTCCAGATCAGTCATGGCTGTGATATCTGTCCATTGATGGCTAGTGATCCATGAACCAAAATCTCTGACAGCAGAATCAGGGTAGCGTCTGATATGGACTGTGGTGGATGTTTGTGGAGGAGGAACATAAAGAAAGGGCTTCCTCCAGATGACGTTGTGGTCACTATTTCCTAGAGGGGGAAGGGACTGTGGTTCTTGGTACCAGTCATGCCAGTCAGTGAAAATAAGGTCGATGAATGACTCGTGGCGGGTATGACATTGAACAACTTGGGTCAAACAACAGGTTTCAGTGATTGCACTGACAGGGGAGTCGTTGAAGTCACCAGCCACCACAAATTTGTCACCCGGGTGTAGGGCACGGAGTTTATCAAGGTACGTGATGATGTGCTCAATCAAATTTTCGTTGTGCGTGCTTCTGGGAGGCGAATACACCCCGCACAGGTTAATTGCCGATATGGAGCGAGGAAGCCAATTTGGTCGAATGCGAATCCACACTACCTCTAGCTGTTTATCTGATTCGACTGGGAGGCATTTGGATGGAATGTCCTCAGACGCAAAGATGGTGACTCCACCACCTTTCTTACTGTTTCTGGTGTAGTGATAGGCGTTGTACCTGTCCACCATGACGTGCATTGACGCCATTTCATCTTCTGCTTGAAGCCAGGTTTCAGTTATGATTGCGACAGAGGGTTTGAGTCGCATCATTTTGTTTCGGAATTCGTTTAGCTTATTTCTTAGGGACCTGGCGTTGGATGGAAGAAAGCATGGAAGGCTCCTTCGAGGTCTTTCGCACTTGCCACCACGTTTCCCTCTTCTTTTCTTAGATGATAGGATATGTAGTGATTTCAGGAGGGTGAAAAGGCTATCATCGAGCCGGATCATGGTCGAGCCAGTTCTCAGCTGATACAAGGATGCCCGGGGGATGCGTTCATTTTTCCTTTTGTTGCAGCTATCAATAAAAAATAGAAGAACTGGTAATGGAAATTATCCGATATTTTTTTGCCATTTGGAACAAAGGCAGAAAATGTGAAGTCGGGCATGAATAAAAATGGGTTTAAAAAAAACTTATGAATTTTGAAATTCCTCACATCTTTTTTCATGTACTGTGAATAGCAGACATTCTACGAAATTTGCAAAAATTTTGGACATGATAGAATATGACAATGTACAATTAAATACATTTTTTTTGGTGACATGATTTTTGCATATTTCGAGGCCTCAAAACATTTTTAGTTAGTCAGTAGGACGTGCCCAAGACGTTTATGGAATGCTAGCAATACCTTAAATGAAACGCTCAAACGTATGAGGCTGAAACTGGGTGGTATGGAGTTCCTTTAGTCTACATTTCAAAAGAAAAAAATTTTCGTCAAAACCCATCAGGGCACTTTTTTCTATCCCATTTTCGTGATGTTTTTTTGATCCAACGAAACAGAGACAGAAAATTTAAACCTCCCTCAAAAGTACCTATTTGATAGGTGAGTACAGGAAAAATCCTACTTTTGAAATATGTTCCGTTAGCGTTGATTATAGGAGGGAAGTATTTCAAAATGTATTCTCTACCCTTACAAAAAGGGACACATGAAAAGATTTCAAGTTAAGCACTCTAGAAATCATAGAAGTAATGATTTTGATAAAAATCAAGACTTTCGTCTCCATATGTCACGTATTTCAATGGGGACAGACTTTAAATACGTGCTTGCCATTTCACANTGATTTTGATAAAAATCAAGACTTTCGTCTCCATATGTCACGTATTTCAATGGGGACAGACTTTAAATACGTGCTTGCCATTTCACAAAGAATAAATGAATTAAACACTATCCAAGGTAATGGAGCGCCGAAGGCGCGCCCATAGCGAGTTTGTTTGCCCGAAGGGCAAACAAACTCGCTAGTATAATATAATCGTCATATTAGATGCCTTGCTGGGATATTTTTGGTATATATCATATTAGGGCATGTGTTCCAAAAACTGTTTCCCTTATATGACAGGAATCATAAATCATTTAAAAAACTGCGACCATAAATGAGTTGGGAAAGAAGGTATCCAAAATGTATATATGTGTTTATAAGCACTTCAAACTAAAGCTTCAATTGCTTCATGACATTCGCAAATTCCACTATCCATTCTTCGCATTTCTCCTCGGCTTCTCAGATTCGGTGAGGAGATGAAGACGAACTCGTGGTTACTCAGTCTTGCTGTGAGACACGATCAGCAGCTGCAACTGGAGAAGCCCTTGCAGCTCACATTCAGGAATGAGGAACCGCCGAGGGTTCCACCTTATGGGAAGGGCAGGTGGGAACTCCACGAGGGGGAAAGTTCGACCTTCATGTCTCAAAGTCATCTGTGTACCTTCTGGAACATGCAAGAGTAAGCATATATCGCATGCACTTTTACTTGGTTCTTGTCGTTCATACAAGTAATCCATGCACATTCGATAGGAAAAGAAATCAACTTTTAATGTAGTAGGAACCGTTGCACTCAGGATGAACGCAAAGGGGCTATAGGTATGATTTCCACTCCTTCATAGTGAGCATTGGGACGATGAGGGATGTAGAATGGTTTCAACTGGCAGGGATCAAACGATCTGTGAGTGCTCACATCTCACCAACTTCGCGGTCCTCATAGACATCAACGCACAAGCCGTGAGATTCCCCATCGATGGTTTCGATAGCTTAAGTGAGGTATAGACTAGAAGTTGGTTCCAACGTGAATTTGAATAAATATGCAGCCGAACGAGACAAGCGCATTGGAAACGCTGAAGAACTTGACGTCTTGGATCGAAAACGAAGTGGAACTGTCGGGGGAGGAAATTCAAAACATAGTTAATTCATTGGCTGAGCTGTTGGATGACTTCCTCGTCGACCTACAAAACGGCCAGGGAGACCCATCCGACTCGAAAGAGTTTCTCCAGATTCTGACCGTAGCTGTGGACCTCACACTGGATGCCTTCGAGGGGTGGTTGAATATCATGGAGGTGGGTTAAACGATCCATCATCAGTAATGGAACTAATTAGTACCTCGTCAACAACCTAAAAAAGATGGGTTGCCGTTGCAAAGGTAAGATTTTGTTACGGATGTGCGGCTGCATTTTCATATGTGCATGAAGGTTTCCCTTGCATTCACACACTGGGAGGACATATTGCAAAGTAAGATAAAACTTGTAGACCGGAATCTCGTATATGCAACTGGAGTTTTAAATTACTTTTGAAATTTTGATTGTTGAGACTATGGTGCAAACGTACACAAAAAGAACCAATCTTTCAATTTAAAGTATTTCAGTTCATAGAGAGTGAAATGCTATATATCGGTCTTCGTCGTGAATCGCTCTGAAACGTGCATAGCAGGGGACCCGGAGCGAGACTTTCTCCTCACTGACTGAAACGATGGCAAAGGCGGGACTGGAAATTGCGTACCTTCTGTTCAATCATCACGACGAGGAGCTGGCTTTCAACATGTCCAAGAAACACCTTGTGGTGGAAGCCTGGGGGAAGCCGAAGAACTCGGGTTCCTTCGTCTTCCCTAACGGGAGGGGCCACACCTATGCCGAACTCCCAGATGGTTTCCAGGATCAACTGGTGGGAGGAGATCACTATTTCGTCGTCGGTGTCCTCTACGACGTTGAAGAATTGAATTCCCTCCTACCCTCAGATAATACCTCGTGAGTGTTTTCTTGTTAACATTTTTAGTCCAATTGTCCAACATATACCGGTTGTCCCAGAAAAAACCTTCCGACCTTGGTGCGTCTGCAGACAGGGCACCTTGCCAAGTATCGTCTTGAAATTTTCTGTGTCTTCTATATACAGTATACCGGTATATATTACGCTAATACGTGACCTTCGAATTTATCTTGCACTTAGTTCAGGCGCTATTCTTTGCACAATCGCTCCTTTGATATCGCGAGGGAGAAAAATTGCTACTCATGTATTTTACTCCCAATTTCGATTAATTATTTGCTACACCTGTTACATCTGCAAATATTTCATGTAAAAATCTGAAAACTTCATGTCGATAACTCTAATGGTACGTCGCCTGCAGGCGTGTAAATTTCGGGACGTATGTTAGCCCGCATCTGCAGGACTTGATGGTTCCCCTTCCATTAATCCCTCCATTAATTCTTACAATGCAGAATGCATTTCATGATTGTTCACTCTTTTTATGATTTTGATCGTATTTGAGAACTGATTCCTTATAAAGAGTCAAATTCTAATCTTGCTTCATGAAGATACGTAGGATTTTTACTCAGAGAAATCGGTAAATCGATGTGATGCACATTCGTCACTTTTTGAATTTCAAGTTCTTTTTTCAATAGGCAAATGCTTCAACTGGATTTTCGATTCACTTCATTTACTTCTCTACCGCGCCAGTTCGTCTGAAAGGCGTCCGCAAAACCGAAATGCGTCGAGACATGAAGGTTGGTGTGAGTGCCCTCGCATCGTCCAGACCAGGTGCTCAACTAATTGGTGGGAAGGTCCACTTAACTAATGTCCCGGCTGTGTCGCGGTCCTAAAATAAAATTCCTGGCATTCGTTGTCAGATGATGTTGCATTTTGGCTATTGCTTTGGGAAGGACCTGCCACGAAATTTGAGAAACGCTGAGGCGAAAGGGGGAGCGGGATGCTGATGATGAGAGTCAAATTAAGAGGAAATTTTTTATCAGACTAGGAGTATGGAGGTATTTGGAGCGTCTTCCCTGCTTTGAGACCATTATTACCTTCTCCCAACGCAGGGGAGGGGCAGGGGAAAGAAGCCAGAAAAAAAATCAGAAATGGGAAAGAAATGAACACTGGATTGCAGCAGGAAAAATTGGGAAGACATGTCAAGATTCCGGACTGAGGCCTGTTTCCGGACATTGAAAATTCGTTAATTTAGTTACAGCTATTGAAACCAATTCAGATTTGATTTACAGAATTACAGAGTTCCGAACTATAGTCATTCGAGGCATTCTATGAATTTCCTGGATGGATATGAAACTTTGGCTAGCATTTGAGGCTCTACCTGAGAATTCGAACCTTAGTTCCGTTTCGAGAGAACTTCATGGTGATTCCGTCAGACCAAAATGTTAGCTTCACATGAGTAATCGATCCAATGAGACGAGGGAAAAGCCCCCTTAGCAAGCTGTGAAACTTCGCAGGCATTCTTGCGGCAAGGTTAAGAAAAACGCAAAGGCATTTCCACTCTGACTTGTATTTAATCAGCCACTTTGGTTTGGTGCTCGATGATAGCACAGACCTGAGGGACACAGCTCTGCTACTCGTTTTCATAAGAGGCATCAATGACACGTTTGAAATCATTGAATAACTTGCCGGATAGGGAATCTCTGAAGGACACAACACCGGGGCAAGATTCTTTTGAAGGAGTGGAGAGTTCCTTCGAAAGATTGAAGTTGCCTACGGAAAAGTTGGTTAGTGTGACATCAGAAGGGTCTCCCAATTTGGCCAGTAAAAACTTTGAGCTTTTGAAGAGAATGAAGAGAAAGTCTAAGAGATGAATCGAGATCAAGAAGTCATATTTCTTCATTGCATCATCCACCAGGAGGTGCTTTGTAAAGGTGTTCTGAATTTGAAGCATGTGGTAAGCCCAGTCGTTAAACTGGTCAATTTTATTCGAGCGAGGGGGCTAATTCATCGGCAATTCATTGCCCTGCTTGAAAACATCGATGCAGAGCACAACTATATCAGGTATCGCACCAATGTCCGTTCGCTTAGTTTAGGAAAAGTGTCGAAGAGAGTGTTGCAGCTGAAGGAAGAAATCATCACGTTCTTGAAAAGGAAGGGTAAAGATGAAGATTTCCCAGAACTCAAAGAAGTATGTTGGCTCTCTGACTTTGCCTTTGTCATGGACGTTATGGAGCATTTAAACGACTTGAATCTAAAATTGCAGGGCAGTGTTCGTGCAGGAACTGTATTCAACGGTAAAAGCATTTCAAGTCATGCTAATCCTGTTTTAGAGGCAGGTGGACAGCGTGTTTTCGTATTTTCCAACTCTGTATAGTATCCTGAAGTTCTGGAGTCATCCTTAATTCAATTCAACTTGCGGAAGAAGAATTTTAACAGAATATATATTTGCTTAAGCGAATTGGGCAGAAGTAGAAAGTGAAACTTGGCACACAAATAGATGTTGCGATGATAAGTTCTATGAGAATTCTATGAGAATTCTACGTTTGAGACACATAGGGCCCAGGTTTTGGGTTAATGATTTTTTTATAAATACGTTTTTGTTCACGTTAAACAAGCGAAGGTAGAAAATATATGTTAAGGGTGTAGGTCTTTTGGTACTCATTTAGTGACAATATATCATTAGTGGTAAATACACTGATGATGCATTTTTTGGTGGAGATTTATTTCAGGATTTGTTTCGCTATAACGAAATCGATAGACTTAGATAGCTGAATAGTGATTTACTAATAGCTATTCAGCTCCCTAGATCAGCAAATGATTTAATTTTCAAATCTATTGGCCTTTTTTGCGGCTCAGCAGGTTGCTTTTTTTTCTCGCTCAAGCAAAACGCGAAGACACGGAGAGCTGAAAATTTCTTAACAATTCTGAAAAAAACTGATATTTTAATTGAGAATCTTAAATTTTAAGATAATCCCCTCAGGAAATTTTTTTGCAAATGAGTATTTTACCTGAAATGTAAATATTTATGCTTCAACGAATCAGAGAGAGGTAGAAAGTTGAAACTTGGCTTCTAGCAATTGGGATGCTGAGTAAAACAAAAAATCTTGGGAAATATATCCCCTTGGGACAGATTATTAGGAGGGGGGGGGGATATGCAGGATGACATGAAGCGAGTACCAATTGTTGACGTTTTTGCTACTGACATTGAATACTTTCTTATAGTGCTTGTAAATTGTATATGTACCGACCTCGGAATAGTTTCAAATCTTTTCATCTATCAATTAGTCATGACAGAGAATTAATTTCCCAGATATGGTGTTTCCGAATTTTCTTCGTTGGAATGGAAAAATGGAGACAAAAATTCGAAGAAAAATTAGCCTTTGACTTTATTCCACCAGCTTCTTGCATTATCGCTGCATTGATTGAATGAAATTGATTTTGGAAATTCAAAATCATTAAAATTGAAGAGTTGACTTGACAGGAGATGTTCGTCCAAGGAAACTGAGGATCTCCAATTTGTTAGATTGTGAATGAAGTCACATAATGGAAAAGAGCGTGACAGAGCAATAAAGCTTACCACTAATTTAAGGAATTTATCCCAGTGGTCGAAAACGTATCTTTCAAATGAGTGAATCATTTTAATAGTTCTTCGAGCCATGAAGTGCAACGAAACTTCCATGGTCGTGGATGACCGTGACACTCGAAGGAGTGCATGGGGGAACATTTGCCGAAAGGTATTTGGGAGCAATGAAAATATATCTATCCATGTCAGATACAGATCTAAAAATTTTTATTTATTGCTTAATTGGGCATGTATTCCGAAAACTGTGAAAATGTAATGTAGCTCGTTGAATGTTTACGTTCCATTACAAAAGTCACAAAAGAACTTAAAACTTGAGTTACATGCGTTCCATGAATTATGCTAATTCTACTATCAACTTTTCGCATCCAACTTCTCGTCGGCTTCACAGGTTCGGTGCAGAGATGAAGACGGATTCGTGGTTGCTCAGCCTTTCTCTTAAGCATGATCGACCCGAGTTGGAGCTGAAGAATCCTCTGCAGCTCACATTCCAAAACAAGGGGCCACCGAGAGATCTGCCTTATCGGAGTCTCCACCAGGGGAAGAAGCAGACCGTGCCAGAAAGTTTTCGGTGCGCCTTTTGGAACGTGGAAGAGTAAGCATTTTTCGCGCTCGAATGGGTAGAATTGATCGTTCTTATGGTACATCAAATCCCATACGACGCCATAAAATCCATATTGCAGCGTAACATCAACATTTGCACACAGGAATAATTTTAAAAGACTCTAAGTATGACTTCCACCATCGTATAGTGAGCGTTGGGACGATAGGGGATGTTCGATGGTTTCCCTGAAGAAGAATCAGACGATCTGCCGGTGTTCCCATCTCACCGATTTTGCAGTCCTCGTCGTAAGAATCCTCATCTATGGTTCCATTTATCGATTACTTAAATTTGGCATATGCTAAATTCAGGTTCATAAATGAGGCGGAATATATGTAGCTGAACGAGACATCCACGTTCGAGAAACTGGACAACCTCACGTCTTGGATAGAAAACGAGGAGGACCTGACGGGGGAGGAGATTCAAACCATCGTGAATTCATTGGATGACCTGCTGGATGACTTTCTCAACGATCTAGAGAACGACCTTGGGGGCTCATTCGACCCAGTTGAATTCCTCAGGAAACTGACCGTAATTGTAGACCTCACCCTGGATGCCTTTGACGGGTGGCTGAATATCACGGAGGTGGGTTCGCCGGTCCTTTATCTGCAATAGTATTAATTGGTGCATCATTATCCCAAGAAGGTTTGGATGCCCTTGCAAAGATATTATTCTACTAAAGCTGTGAGGCTTTTTTCTTGTGTACATGAAGGTTTCACATGCGTTCAGAAACGGAGGCCTCATTGCGAGGTAAAGATGAAATATGGAGGCCCAAATCTCGGATCTGCTATTGCAAGCCCTTTGGCTTTTGCAAACTTATTGTGAGACGATGGTGCAAATGTCCCCAAGTACAACCCCAAGTGACAAAAGTAGAAAAGGTTGGGCTACGTCCCAGCGGGGGGGGGGGGGGGGGGGGGGGCGGNGGGGGGGGGGGGGGGGGGGGGGGGGGGGGGAGCTCGAGAGCCAGTGGCGTCACTGCCATACAGTCTTCTTGGCTGACTGATAAAAACTCCTTTTTCTAGTGTATTTCTCCTATGTTAAAAATGTCATATCGGTTTGTTTTTTCTTGCCATATTACCTTGTACTTTGCGCCTCCATTCTATTGCGCTTGAACGATTGCATCTCTAGCTTGGGCACTGGGAAAGGTTCATAGCATTCTCAGATGCCGATCGCATGTGCAATCACCGCCTGCAAGAACATATGATTTTGGAGCCAACAGAGAGAAACTTTAGTTTCATCGTTTTAAAGGAACCAGCGTTGGGAAAGATCAAAGTGATGCTGTGGAAACGCGCGGAATATGAAATTCCTGAAGTGGACCGAGGCAAGGATCCCAAAGCAACCGTTTAGGGTCGCCGAGATGGTTATCTTTCGCCGAGATGGTCCAATCGAAATTCCATGTCAGCCATCGAGTATTCCGAGTATTTGTAAGAACGCGGTGGTTCATCTGAATTCTCTTAATAAATTCTGAGTTGCTCAGCAAGGGCAAGAAGGTGAGGAAGAAACGGAAGTCTTTCGTTGAAGTGGTGAGAAGGAATATCCTCATGGTGTTCGTGAAAATCACGTGATTTGCCATGACCATGACAAACAAGCTCCCATCCTCTGATTTCGGGATACAGCAACACAGCTGACAATGAACGCATATTTGTATTACCATTTCAAAAGGACAAATGATCCATGTTAACAATTTTTATAAATAATTAAAAAATTCTCATTACAGACTCATCCCCTCCCAAACCCCGTCCCTCCTTCTCAGTACGGAATCCTCCCAGCCTCTTTCCCATCCGACGCATTATCTTCCGCAATTAAAGGGATATTTTTTAAATGAGCGATTGGTTACGAAATGTGGACATTATGCTTCAAATAATATCATGGCATCGGAGGAAAACCAATGGCGAGAATGGAGCAATCGGGGCAGGTGTATTCCAGTGACGTCGTTTGCGCTAGAGCTAGAACCGCTGTTATTTGGGGCTTCGCTTTCTACCCAACCCTATCTACTCTTCTAACATGGAGTGCAACCCATCTCTAAAATTTACAATAGTTCGAAACAGATGGAGTGAAATATTTTATGTCCATCATGTCGTCCATCATATCGTCCTCGTTACGAAATGTGGAGGTCCACGAATCACTCTGAAACGCGTATTGCAGGGGGTCCGGAGCGAGACGTTCTCCTCACTGACGGAAACGGTGGCAAAGGCGGGACTGGAAGTTGCCTACTTCATGTTCAATCATCGAAACGAGGAGCTGGCTTTCAACATGTCCAGGGAACATCTCAAGGTGGAAGCCTGCGGGAAGCTGAAGAACTCGGGTTCCTTCGTCTTCCCTAACGGGAGAGGCCACACCTATGCCGTACTCCCAGATGGATTCCAGGATCAACTGGGGGGAGGAGATCATTACTTCGTCGTTGGTGTCCTGTATGAAGTAGATGACTTGAATGCCCTCCTACCTGCAGATGGCACCTTGTGAGTGTTTCCTAATTTATATTTTCGAGTTCGATCGTCCACTATGAATTTCATGGATGTAATGGTTCTCAGGTTTCCCCACATCGGCGGGACTAGATGATTGCACATCCGTTATTACCCCTGCATATTCCAGTGTGACTGAATGTATTCCATGGTTGTTCGCTCCTCTTGTGGTATAGTTCGTTCTTGCGAGGTTATTCTGTACTAGCGAGTTTGTTTACCCTTCGGGCAAACAAACTCGCTATGGTCGCGNAGGTACATGTGTACCAAGTTTCAGATTTCTCACTTTTCTGGAACATGGTTAGAATTAGCGTCAGTCAGTCAGTCAGTCAGTCACGATCGTCTATATATATTAGATGCATTTTTCAGTTTTAACCTCGCTGCATGAAGGTCTGTCGGAAGTTTATATTGGTTGCTTAAACTTCAAGCGCTGATCCATAGTGAAGTGCAAGTCATTCTATGTCAAGTGGTCCGAATTTTCTCGTCTGAAATCCTTAACCAAAATCGGTTAAGGATTTCACTATGAAAAGCCGCGCGTACTAAAAGTAAGTAGAAAATAGCAAGCTCAAAGTTTCAGCAGCTAAGGTCCAAAGGTCTTCGGGTTAATGTTCCTTTGATGTTTCGGGGAAAGGTTTGAATCGCCTTGGCAAATGCATCTCCCAAAATGCGTAAGCTGGTAAGCTGGTTAATAGCTCATTTTGATAGTGTGAAGTCAGGCAATCAAAACCTCTTCCTTCTATTACGTCTTTACTTCGAAAAAAGGTGCAAATAGTTCAAAGGTAAACATTTTTAAATATTGAAGCCAAAAATAACCCAATAGGAGGGCATGTCACTTGGTCAATTTTGGGATGTCCTTCATGCCCGATAAGGTTTGTCCGAAAGTATATTTAAGAAGTTTTGCAATGGTTCAAAAACCTGCTCTGCGCATTCGAGCTTGAAATTAGTGACAGGTAAACCTTCTGCAAACCGAAGGAAACCTAGTGTTCCTTTGTATTGGAAGAAATAACCATGGTATTGATATACTACCACCTAAGTAGCACCCAAACGTTTAAGTGTGTGTTCAATACCTAAAATGAACGTTTCATTTAAGGTATTGCCAAACGTTCCATTAACATCCTTCTAAACGTTCTAAATATCCGAAATTTAGAGCGGTCAAAAACAGTTTCAATTATGCTTTCCCGTGAATTCATAGAGAACGTGAATAGGTTATTCCAAAGAAAAGGGATCAATGAATTTTTTTTTAGGATTCTTCTAACAAGCAATTAAGTTTTGGATAGCATTTTTTCATCACTTAAATTACATTCAGTCCAAGTAAAGTCCTGCTCCCGTGACAGGGGTCAGAGGCTATCGTGTAGCCGATTATATGTCTATATGATTACATAGTCTAAGTACTATCTTCCCTTTTCTGAGGTTACAAAGCAGATAATATGGGTGAGTATAGGGTGTACGATGGAAGAACGGGTGTGCATGCATTTAGAGGCGCATTTTCACCTGCGCGTCTTCATCCCTTACCTAAGAGGCTCGCATTGCACTCTTTAGGGTGTACAGACTCTCCTTCCTACCAAGTGGATGCATGTGAGCACCGTCTGGGTATGCATTAGTCCTTTCAGCTGAAAGTCTGGAGTCATCCTCACCCCGCTTTGCTCACTTCTGCCGGAGGGATGACCCCCTCGGGCTAATCCTCACCCCAGAAGTCAGACACGCATTCCCAAAGATTGTACTTGTCATTTCTTGCCTTCTACCAATGCGACTGCGATTCGGGAAAACAATAGAACCTTTGAAGAACTCTCGCACTCATCGTTCGTGAGCGCTTTCAAAGGACTGATGGTGATGTGGACATCGAACTTCTTCGCGGAGCCTGTGTGAACGCAAGTAGCGACGAGCGAACGGCGGAGCCCGTGTGAACGAGGATAGCCTCGTATTTCATCACGGACGCTTGAAATCCCTGGATTCACAGCAGCAGGTTGGAGACACTGCTGCGAGCGAAGCCAGAGTTCCATTTCGAGTACCACGGCAACTCTCGTCTCCTCGCCCATCCGAAAGATGGCGAGACGAGAGCCTATTCACCAGTTGGGAAAGTTCAAATGTTACAGAACTTCGTGCAGCCTGAAGTCTCTGGGTGGCCTAATGCACATGAGTTGCTCTTCCAGCAGGATGGGCTCCATCCCATTTCGCTGTCAATATGCGCAATTGGTTGGACAACAATTTTCCCAGCAGGTGGATAGGCAGGCTTGGACCAACAAATTCGCCTGCGAGAAGCTCTCATCTCAGTCTCTTGGACTTCTTTCTCTTGGGAGGTTGGGTCGAGGAAAATGTTCAGAAATATCCAGAACCTTCACCTGCATGCTGCTAATAAAAGTAACTGATGCTCTCTCTAATGGGGGATGAGGTTTTTGGACCAGAGGGGTGGCCATGCAGCCACTAAAGGTGCTTGGCACCTAGGTGAGAATTCTCCCCCGAGTTTCATGACGATCTTGTTCACTCCCAGGGGCAAAGCTTGCACATCGTTAAGGGTGCAGGATCTCACCTTTATTATTAATATTTACTACGCTCATGAAATAATCACCATGTCAGACGCCGTACGATTATTATTTTTACTCACTGCATATTCGGGCATATATTCCAAATCTTCTTAAAATGAATGCGAACTCGTAGAATGTTTTTGCTCACATTAATGACATTACGTTACGTAACATCAAATTTTGAGGTCAGGTTTAATTCGTAAATGAAGTATGAAACTCATTCACAAAATCAACCTGAACGAATATATTTTTTCCGTGCCATCCCTTCAGCAAGTTCTACAGCATATCCCTTAGCATATCTCGTCGGCTTCGTAGGTTCGGGGGAGAGACGAAAACGAACTCGCAGGTACTCAGCCTCGCTGTGAAGCACGATCGGCAGTTGGATCTGAAGAATCCCTTGCGGCTCACATTCCGGAACGAGGTGCCGCCACGTGATCCGCCTTATCGGGAGGTCTGGCGGGATCCGCACGAGGGGGAGCCCACGACGTTCGTGTCTCAAAGTCATCAGTGCACTTTCTGGAACATAAAGAAGTAAGCATATATGCCACCTTCACGACGAGGTTGAATTTTTTGTTTTCGCAATGCAGCCAATTCCATACGACGCAAAATATCTAAATTTTAACGTCGCAGTAAAATGTATCCTCAGGGAGAATTCTAAAGGGCTATAGTAACGTTTCCACTCTTGCATGCGGTCTTCAATAGGGAAAAATGGGACGATGAAGGATGCTGGGCGGTATCCTCGGACAGGGACGAGACGGTCTGCGAGTGCAAACATCTCACCAACTTCGCGGTCCTCATGGATATACACGGATATGTCGTAAGATATTCTCATCTCTTATGAGATTTCTCATCGATGGCTCCATGCATTGTTGGCATCGATACAGCGATGGCACGTTTCGTTTTTCCATAGGGACGAACTACGGCATTGGAGATGTTGTCCATTTCGCTCTCGAGTCTTTCCATCCTCGGTCTCGTCCTCGCCCTTCTGATCTTCATAACGGTCGATGTCAAGTTCGTTCTCTGGTTTTCTCTGAATTCGAAACTTCATTGCGTTGTTTTCTGCTTGACAAGCATATTCTCTTTGTCATTGGTGCAGAAGCACAGCCAAGTTAAGAGCGCTGGAGCTGAACAAGCACCTCTGCCTGTGTCTCCTGGCTGCACATCCATGCCTTATTCTCCTAATGGACAGGCAAATCTTCAATTTCTCTGAAGTGAATCTCTTTCCGTCTGAGCAGAATCCACCACTCCGCGCGTTGAGCATTTTCTCCCACGTTGCCTAGGCGACCCGAGGAACTATCTCATCACAGGGTTCTTTGAAGATGGAATCGGCGAAGTCAAATATTAAGATGCGAGTGTTTAACAGTACCTTTAAAAAGAAATCCTACCCTGGAAAGGGCACCGATTTAATTTATTTCCCAATGCATTTGTTAATCTAATTTAATAGGTAATTGATGGATTGCGTGTATGAACGATAATTGCATCCATATTGATAATCGTTTTTCCATGAAAGTCTCGGGTAAAAATAAGAAAATATTAGCGTCTACTCAAAACGGAGAGTTGGTTTCTCCATAGACTTCAGTGGGAAAAAGTGTATCTGTTTGGAACTCATTCGATTCATCTTTAATACGTGATTGAAACATCGCCGAGTCAAGCATTTGCTAACCTCTCCTCACTTCACTGTGAAAACCGCAAGGCTTGCTCGGATGCTCTCTAAAAGAGTTTCTCGTTTCATCCTCGTTTGGTAAGGATTTATCTCGTGTCGAGTCTGCGGCATTCCTGAAATTACACTAGTTTTCCTGGATCAACGTGTATATCTTAATTGAGTCAAGCAATTCTTTAAGGGTAAGAACCTCGTCAACATGCTGCTCATCTCACAGTATCTTTTGCCTTATCTCATTCGGATTCGTATACGTATCGTGTAGAGTGAAGGGAATGAAATGTAAAAAAAATGAATGCAAATGAACTCCTGACCTCTTTTTGGTGGAAACCAGACTGGGTGCGCCGTGTCCGGAGTGGTGCTCCATTATCTGTTTCTCAGTGCCTTCACGTGGATGGCACTGGAAGGGATTTTCGTCTATCGGCGGCTCGTTCTCGTCTTCCCTACCGGCACGAGCATCTCCGTGTGGACCTACTACATTGCTGGGTATTGCTTGCCGGGCCTCGTCGTCCTCGTCACTGCGGCTGTCTCCTTTCTGACGAATACCAGGGGATACGGAGCCGGAGAATTGTACGACTCGAAGTAACTTTTCTCGTGTTGATCTATGCAATGCGATCAATCCATGGTGGTCTTCGGTTTCCCTTGCAGTTGCTGGCTGTCGTCGCCGTATTATATCTGGGCGTTTGCTGGACCCGTGCTCTTGGTCATCTTGGCCAACTTCATCATCATGTGCCTGGTTATGAAAAGTGTCTGGCAGAGGGGAAACGTAGGGCGTTCTCCCCAGAGAAGTCACGTGTACGTTCAGTTCTTAAAGTTTTTATGGGTGTAGCCATTTTTGGCTGTGAGACGTGTGCACTTCGTTCGTCCTATCGTACACTCTCGAACGCAGTTCCTTTCCCACCTGAAAATGTAAACCTTAACTCCCTATGAAACTTCATTCCTTTGGAGAGGGGTGCCTTTGACAGGGCAATAAGTGTCGGAATGATGTCCCGTCTGTTCCACGCGGGATGTGGGGATTGCAGAAGGATAACGTTTTCTTTTGACATTATCATGTTCTTTATGGGATAAAGGAAAATGGGTATGCTGAGAACGGTGAGGAACTGGAAAATTGTGTCACGGAAATTGGCGCGATGAAGTGAACAATTACCTACTTTCGGCTACTAGTTATAGGAAGACCGATCGCCGCGACTTTTTAGCTACCACCTGTTTAATTGAAAATGCAGGAAAATTTGTTAAGTCAAGTTCATGCTGGACACAGACTTTTTTATTGTTGAAATAATTCTTGGGAAAGCCAAGCATGGATTGCAAAATCTTTTCCAGGACAACTATGTTCGCGATTAACTTGATTCACACGGTCTTTCTTTCCCTATCTGTGATATTCGTTTAGACGCACTTAGGTTTGAGAGGAAAAGCAGATATATAAGTTCCAAATGTGAACATGGGAGCAAAAACGCCGTGCGGGATATCTCATAAATACATAGTATGGTATTTTTTAGCGTCTAGCATCGAAAAGACTAAAGCAATCACGTATGAATTTTCCCTCTCTAAGCACGACTAGCATAAGCTTAAAATGGCTATAGACCTGGTGACACTTTCCTGACTGGGAATTGGCCTGAAATTGGAATTTCCTAACCAAATTGATCTAGTGGTCAAGCCGACCACCACAATACACTCATAAGAAAGGGAAGTGACACAAGCCAAAACAGCATATCCTTGAAATGAAATTTGGACGTGCTTGTAGTGCCTTCGTGAGGACAACTTTGACCCTGTCCTGCCTGCTGGGGATCGGCTGGGTCTTTGGCTTCCTCTACATGCAGATCACGCCTGTCTTCGCCTACTTCTTCACGATCGCGAATGCGTCCCAGGCAAGACACTACTTGCCGCTGCGATGCGCGTCAGCGGAGCGGGCCCGATATCGATGGTCTTGCGTCTGTGTTTCAGGGTTTCCTTATCTTCGTCTTCCATTGCCTTCTTAATAAGAGTCTGATGAGATCTTCCCGCGTGGGTCGCCTCTTCTGCGGCCGAGTAAGTTCTCAGGTCTTTCTTCTTCCTAGATAGTCTTGTTCTTTTTAGAGTGCATTTGAAGAATGGTGAGGGAGAAGGTAATTAGATTTGGTTTTGGGAATTCCTCTCCTACATAAAGAAGACTTCCAAATTCTAATTTTTCAAATATGAATTCTTTTTTATTGTTATTGTCTTGTATTGAATATTACTATAACTTTGTCAATTTATAGCGAATTCCGAGAATAGTTTTCTACTCGGAGGATGCCCCATCAGTCAATAGGACTAAATGCATAGATTTTCTCGATAAGTTGAATCTTCACCTCCGAGGAAAAACTGTTCCCGTGATGCTCAATTCGTTATAGTTGCTTGCATTTTTAATGAATAAAAAAGGAAGAAACTCCAATGAGAGGGGGTAGTGAGAAGAGAGCGAGAGGGGGAATTGATAAGGGAATTAAAGCTTTAATATAACAGCGAGCTTGACCTGAATAACCTCCAAAAACTTGTACGAAATATATCGCCTAACGAAGATTAGAACTTTTAAGTGGCAATACCTTTGAGTCAAGAATTGTGAGGCATGACCAATACTTTCTGTACGCAGGGTGTAGCAAAGGGCGAATCCATTCGCTGGAGTGCAGGAGTCCCCTCGACCCTCGTCACGCCTCAGTCTCAGTGACTCAGCGAGTCGCTCTCCTCCGCTCGTGGAAGCAAATTCTACTGGGGGAAGTCTCCGGAGGATGGTGGCATTCATCGCTTCTTTAATTTTGTGGCTGCAGGCCTCCTACCATGGTGTTCCAGCGATTTTTATTAATGTTTCGATCATGATTTTGTCTATTTCTTGTTCGGTGTTGGATGCATTTCCCCCCTCTTTCACATTAATTCAGAAATTTGGGCTTCATTTTTTAAATAAATATAAATGTAAATGAATGGCGAAAATCTATTAGACGTATCGGTGATTCTTCATATTGTCCTAAAGACGTTTCTCTTTGAATATTAACGTATTTTATGGTAATATGGTTCTGAAGGTTTTACTCGCCCAGGTAATGCGGTAAAATCTGGTTGGGTGTGGACATTAACGCCCAGCCAGTAGGGTCCATTCTAATACAATGTGGCCGATGGGATGTGTTCCTTGGCGCAAATACCAGCCCTTTCCCATAATGAATGAATATATATTTCAGAATAAAGAGCTGACCGAGGAGAAGCGACATTTTGAGCTGCAGATAGTTTTATAATTTCATCGTTTCATCGTTTAGAAATAGTTTTCAACCTACACTTGAGAATTATTCCAAATCCGTCTTTCGTCCGAAACCCTCTTAAATTGAGATACTAGAAAGGGTAACTTTTCGCAATGATGCCGCGTACGGAAAGCATGGCCGTGTCAATATGAATTCAGAACGACTTGGATCTCATATATTTTGACGATGGTGACTGACTGACTGACACTAATTCTAACCATGTTCTAGACATGATGACTGACTGAAACTTGGTACACAAATAGCTGTTAGATTGCTGACTTCAGAAAAATTCCAACTTTGGGGGTAAGTGCCCTGGGGGCTCATTCCTGGGGGGTCGCATTTTGAAAGCCTACGCCTAACCCTCAGACGGACACTTAGGCCTATTCCATTCTCAGGTACACACTTCCTTCAATAAAACGGAAGGAACGTGAATGGCTGCTAGGTTGTCGACTCCAGAGAAACTCCAACTTCGAATGTAAAACTTTGGTAGTCCATGCCCTGGGGGCACGTTTCAGGAAGGGGGGAGACGGATTTCGCAGGCCTAGGCCAAACCCATGGATGGGTCCTTAGGCTAACACCACACTCATACATTTTCTTCCTTCAGCGAAGCGGGGGGGGGGGGGGCGGAAGAAGTAGCTATTTTATTTCCTACTACAGGTGAAGTTCGACATAGAAGGTACGTGCCCTGAGGGGATTGAGTTAGCAGGCCTATAGGTAACCCTTGTAAAGACGCGGACCCAAGTAACACATCCATGTGGAAACAACATTGAAACAATGTTTCATGGCAACATTTATGATGTTGAAACAACATCGAGGTGCCACATTGATTCAATGTGAAGATGTCATTTTGTCAACATTGTTTCAATATTGAAATGGAATGTTGAAACAATATTGATGGCAACATTCATTCAACATTACTCAATGAGTCCCTCGTGATTGGATTTCTCCACGGATAAAGTAGAGGTAAATTCTGAAGTGATGAACTACACATACAAAAGAGGATAAGTCCTCTTCAGTATCTATAGGTCAGTACCCACAGAGTACCGAGAAGTTTGAGAGAAAGGGTCCTCTTCAGTTCTGCAAACAGCACCAAAGCCTTGTATGCCTAACTGGTTTACAAAACGAGGATAAATTCTTTCAACTCCTCTCTTAGAAGATTTGTGAGTGGATCACTTCAGGTTATTTTTGTGCGTGCTCTACACGTCTCTAATCGCCTAGATTTCTATGCGCTCACACTAAACCTGGACATTTAATTTGTTTCAGAATCAGATTCTGCAATCAGAACATCATAATTCCACATTTTTCTAATATATGTGTTCATTAATTACGTAATAAAAAGAGGAAAGTGGGAAGAAAACGCTTTAATGGAAGGTGACAGATCCCTAATTGCATTAGGAGGCTACAGGGGAACATGGATACCATCTAAAGTATAATGAATGTCCCTCATATAAGTAGCACTTATTTTAGCATTATTTTTTTGCAGCATTCTGCAATAATTCATACTAAGTGTTGATTGCTTTCAGCTTTAATTATCACAATTGATGAGAATCAGAAGCTTTTATAGATTTGAGGGTTTGCCAATATGGATCACCAGCCAGTCACCCAACATAGGATTAAAGGAATTATGCTAAAACACCTGGAACTTTTAAAGAAGGAGCCCTCTATCACCTGTGATTCATAATAATGGCTTTAGTACAGTGCATATAATAAAATGTTGTGTCCAAATTACTTTACTGAGTAACTTGCATAATCTTTCATTTCTTTTGGACTGCTTGTATTTTTTTTTTCAGGGAATCTTGAAACACTGAGCAAGAGACCTTCAGAGAAGGGGATTGATGTCCAGAAGGCCTTGCTGGATTTTCATGATAAGTGGTACTCTGCAAACATTATGACCTTGTGCGTCCTTGGAAAAGGTATGATTATATTTGCATTCATGAAAACCTAGATGTGACCAATTGTTGCATGCTTGGTGATACAGGAAGATCACAGTCCTTTTGCTAACAGAGAGATTGCAGCAAAGCTATTTAAATTCAATGAATAGTACAGAATATATACTGAATGCACTACATGCCATCTGAATGCAGTAATGGAAGATATGAATCCACTGTTTTACAAGGATTACCTCATAAGATTCCATTATGCAATCATTAATCTGTAAGACAGCTTTGAATGTTCACTTTTTTGTGAATATTGTTTACTAACCTTTTTATGCTTCCAAATGATGCAATGTATGGTTTTGTGAAGCATGAATCAAAGAGAGTGAGTTTGAAGGTTGTTTTATTCCCATTACCACTGGAGCCAATATATGGGAATTTTTATACAACATTAGATTCCTTAGAACGATCTTGGCCAGTCAAAGGTGTCAGATGTGACATCTGGAGTAAAATGTTTGGCATACAAAATGCATTTAACTGTAATATAAATGATGAATCAACACATAAAGGTTGCAACAATTAGCCTCAGGTATTGACTGAAAATTCCAAAAGCCAAAGTCTTGTATGCTCTCCTTTGCTGGAAGTGTATCAGTGGACAAAGAAAAGAGTCAGATGTGACATGTCATGAAACCTCAGATTAAAGTCATTTGTTCTAATGGTCACATTTCTGTCATATAGCAGGACCTACTAATTTAGTATTATGTTCATTTGGTAGATAAAATGAAAGCCTGTAATTAGTATAGGTTACCCCATAATTACATAGCTCAGAAAGGAAAGCAAGGCTATTTTGTGACCATGATGGATGTGACAGAAAAGTGTTGAATGTGACAAGTTCTGAGACCTAATTTTAATATGAGAAATCTGTATATACAGGGTTGGCCAAAAAAAAGTAAGCCACTTGAAATTTGCTACAAAATCACTATGTTCAAATAAATTTATTTGAAAATTTGGGAAAACATTGTCTATTATGTATGAGAGCTGGTACAAATAATATATTCATGCATATAGTTGTGGTACAAATAATATATATAAAAAATGAATAAATCTTTCAGTTTTAAAGATATTTGCCTGTATGCAAGAACCTATCACATGATAGCCTATTACATGGTACCTATCATGATAGGTATCAGGCGGTAGGTCTATTATTTGCTCAGTTCTGTATGCAAGAACAAATTATAGGTATCCATCGTCAAGCCTATTATGATAGGTATCTTCATACCTATTATGATAGGTATTTTATATCGATCATGATAGGTATTCTTGAATCTTCCTGATGACAACCTCCTATCCATCATCTCCCACCCAGGAACAATGCCGTGTGCATCCGCTCACATGACTGACCAGAGTGTTGTGTGATGATTTAATGGTACTAATCTGACCCCGTTTACCGGAAGTGCTTGAATTCCGACTGCCGTGGCTTGATACAAAGAATTCTACGGGATTTAATCTATCTCAGAGTAACTGCGCTCAGCACAAGTTGCGACGGTTTACATAATTAATTGGGTTAATAAAATGCATTGCAATCTACCCAGGTAGCTCGTTATAAGCAGAATAAACAAGCTCTGGATCATAATAGATTGAAGCGATTCTTATAAAATATAAAATATATAAAATAATATATAAAATATAAAATGTTTCTGCATACGGCCAACCTATCAAACCTATCAAACCTATCATGTGATACCCCCCAAAATAGCTATTTTATCGGTTTTATACGTTCTTGCATACCAACCATTATTCTTATTAAATAATGCCTTCAGGAAAATGAGATTATGCAATTTTGTGCAGAATGTAATATTTAAAAATGTAATAAAATTCCCTTCTACAAATCTTCAGACCACTTGGTGTGGAAAGACCCATCTGTGTCCAGAGAAGTTTTCAGCTTAAAAAAGGCACTTCATACTAAGGGAATCCTGAATGTGCCAAGGAAAAGATATAATTGAAAGTATACAAGAATGTATGAAATCCCATGCCTAAATTTGATTCTCTATTTCCATTCTGTATAAAGATAAGTATTTTATGCAGGAAGTTATAGGATGACCATTGTACAGGAATTCATTCATTGGAAGCCTCCACATGAGTTCCTATACAGTCAGAGCTATGTAGGAACAACCTCAGGTCAGTAACTTGAGAGAAAGATTTTTTCCTGAAATTGGACCTTCAAGAAAAACCTCAGAGCAATCTAGAATGCTTAACCATCTTAATCCCAAGTTGTAGATATATTGGCTGAAGGTACCAATATATCAGCACCTTTTGCCAATATTAACAGTTAATATCAGGATGAGGTTCAACATACTTTTGACAGCAACACAGAGTCTTCATGAAATGTCAACCAAAAAAATTGTTAGTAGATCTGGTTAGGTGGGGCATGGCCAACTCTTCATAGAGTTTCTTCCATTGTTACCTTTAAAATCTTGCATCAGGACTTTTTCCTGTGTGATATGTGGTTTCTTGAAAATTTTGAGATTGTTGGAAGCTGAAGGTTCATATTGTGCTCTATATATGCTATACAGCAGATCTCTTAACAGTTTATCAACTAGCAAATAAATTTTACCTCAATATATCCATCTTGTCCATGAGAAAAATTCTTCTGAATGCATGAAAAAGAGATAAGAGGTAAGGGAAAAGAAGTTTCATCAAAGCTAAATCTATGTCAATATTCCTGAAGACAAAAATGGGCTTTGATGAAGGATAATAGACATAAAAGAGCCAAAGAAAACTGTAGTGGAATGGCTTCTCACCCATGTTCATATCATTTTTGAGTTTGGTGCTGTTACTAAGGGAGTCACAACTCATCAACTATAGATAGATAATGAGACTGGTAGGGCATACATACAACAGTGCTTGGAGAGTGACTAACCAAAAAATCAATTTCGAACTTTCTTTAGGGTAAATAAAAGGAGGGAGAGAGACCTGTTTTGTTTGATAGCTTGAGCTTGAAATGCAGTGGATGGTATAAGAACAAGGCGAGGAGTTATGCAAAAATAATCACCATCCATCAAATCCCTTAACTCTTGAAAACATTTAAAAATGATCCTTCACTGTCAATGTCTTGGATGAGGCACTTATTTGAGAGTTATGGGGCAAAGGACCTTCTTGACTTTTCTTTCCCTTTATATTTTCTTGATGCATGTGAATATGATACTCAAATGTTTTTATTCATCTTATGGCAGAGTCATTGGAGGAGCTGGAGGAGAGAGTTGTAGAGTTGTTCAGTGGTGTCAAGAACAAGGACATCCAAGCTCCTGAATGGCTAGACCATCCTTACAAGGAACCCCAGCTTCGGAAAGTTCTGGAAGTTCTGCCTGTCAAGGACATTAGAGAACTTACTCTCACTTTTCCTATACCCGACTACAAACAATTTTACAGAAGTGCTCCTGAGCATTACCTATCCCATCTGATTGGTCATAAGGGACCAGGGAGCATTTTATCTCTGCTGAAGGAAAAGGGATGGGTAAATACTTTAGTTGCAGGAAAATATGCAGGTGCTCCTGGATTTGCATTCTTTCAAGTGAATGTTGATCTCACTGAAGATGGCTTGGAACATACTGAAGAGATTGCAGAAATCATATTTCAATATTTGAAGCTCCTTCACGTTAGTGGTCCTCAAGAGTGGATATTTGAGGAGTGCAGGAATCTTTCATCCATTGACTTCCGGTTCAAGGACAAAGAAAATCCTATCAACTATGTGGTTCAGGTCACCCTGTCTCTCCGTGAATATCCCATTGATGAAGTGCTGTCAGGACCATATCTCTTTGATCAATTCAAGCCAGAACTAATTTCTGAGGTCTTGGGCCTTCTCATCCCAGACAGAGTGAGACTCACAGTTATAGCAAAGAAATTTGAAGGTACCACAGTCCATAAGGAGGAATGGTATGGAATAGAATATTCAATCAGTGACATTTACCCTGAAGTTATCAAGAAATGGGCACATCTAAACATGCACACTGAACTTGCCCTACCTCCAAAGAATGAATTCATTCCAACCAATTTTGTGCTACATACATTGCCGAAAGATGCAAAGAAGACCCCTCAACTCATCGAGAATTCTCCTCTTTTTCGAGTTTGGTATAAACAAGATGACAGATACTTTCGTCCAAAAGCAATCCTGAAGTTTCAGTTTGTGAGTCCTTTGGCATACTTGGATCCCACACATTGCAACATGAATAATCTTCTAGTATGGTTGTTTAGAGATGCTCTCAATGAGTATGCACACTCAGCACAAGTTGCTGGTCTAAATTACTCTCTAGATTGTTCCAAATATGGACTGCAACTGACAATATATGGCTTCAGTGACAAGCAGCATGTACTTCTGGACAAGATCATGGATAAGTTGACTCATTTCAAAGCCAACCCAAAACGCTTCATTCTACTGAAAGAACTCTATGAGCGCAGTTTGAAGAACTTCAAAGCAGAGCAACCTATGCAGCATGCGTGCTATTACCTCTCACAGTTGACGACAGACCGATCATGGAGCATGGAAGACCTTCTGCAAGCACTGCCACAGATCACAGTTCACAATCTGGAGAATTTTGTGAATTCCTTCCTATCACATCTGCATGTTGAATGCCTGATTCATGGGAATCTTACTCAAAAGGTGAGGATTGTAGATGATGTGAATGCATGCATCATGACCTGACATGATTATATTCATGTTTTCTTCCTTTCTTTATGGTGCTGCTGGCCTGTTAGAACTACTAGATGATTAAGACGATGTTATAATTGTAGTGATGAAATTGATTCACAGATGAACTGAGACATGATAAAAGTTAAGATTTAGTTCTGCAGAATTTACAAAGTCCCATCTTCATCATAAGTCTGAAATTTGCTAACTCAATCACAATGATGGGAATGGTGGGGTAGGAGGCAATTAGGGAATTTCAAACATCCATCTATGGCATACATGCTCATCCTATGCAGTCAGAATGCCCCTTTTCCATTTTTTACACACCACTATTTTTGGCCTTCAAAGCTGGATGGAAACTTCTTGTAATAGTCACCCTGTCACCTTGAAAAGCTGAACGAACTCAAGTTGAGTCTGCTGGAGCATCCATTTACATGAACAGCTGGGGCAATTTGTTCAAATAACTGCCAGCTGAATCTCCTAGTTTTTGTACTGCCTAACTACAGTTTTTTCCATTAACTTTATTTCCCAGATAATGGAATGCCCATACTTCATACTTCACTCAAAATGATCTCCACATGTTACATAATGTTTCATACCCCCTTCTGCCCTTCCACTAAGCAAGTGGCACTCCAAATGAAAAGCCCATCTGATACCCATGGGAGGGAAAAATGCTTGCCTTATAGATAATCCTTTGTCTTCATGGATTGAATGTCCAGATTTATGGACTACACAAGTGTACTACAAGACAAGACCATATAAAAAATAGAGATAGTAGTCCCAGGGTCAAAGTTGCCTGGTGGCCTAGCCATTCTGAGTGGAATTGGATATGTGGAGGAGAGAAAGGGGGTATGAAAGATTGAGATTCATGGTGCATGTTAAAAGAATGATGCAGAACATTTTCCCACTTATGCCCAGCAGTCTGCAAGATGTAAGAAACTCATCTAGAAACACTGTAGATAGAAGTTAAGTGTCAAGTGATGACTGGATCAGAAATGAAGGGGAGCTTTTGGGCTTCACCCCCTGTACCACTGCAACTGTTGCTCATTGTGAAGTCTAGCAAGCAGAAGCTGCTGGCATAGGACAACGGAAAATAATAGAGAAAGAAAGAAAAGAGAGTGAATTAATAACTGGTACTTTTAAAAGGTAGCACACAGTAAGCCTACACAGCTTCGCAGCTTCAACCTTCATGCTGACAGATTAGAGTGAAAAATATGGTGTAAGAGTGGTGTGGTTTTTCCTTCATTTCTTTTTTGAAATCGGAGTATTCCTAGAGTTTTCTAGCTACAGGTCCCATGGCTTCATTTCCTTTCATGCTTTCCCTTTTCATTGATGGTACTGATTCCTTCTGATAATTTTTTTTAATGCATGGCAACTTTGATCCTGAGTGATCCACTTTCTTTTTATTTTTCCTATAATACTTCCCTGTCCTTAAAAAGGATCACATAGACTGTTTTCAGATTTAGTTCATACCTTCCCCTATTGTGGAGAATGGAGAAAATATAACTTCCTAAGGCTCTGCTTTATCAGGTCAGAGACTTTCACCCATGGAAAATGCCACTACCTGCAATCAGTGGAACCACTCTTATTTGAGAATGAATTCAATCTGAAAACAATGTATTGGCAGAGACAGAGTTCAAGAAACTCACCCTGCATCAAACTATAGATACACAAAATACTGCACATGAGAAAATTTTTAGTCTGTTCATGTGCAGTTTTCTTTGGACTCAAAAAATAGATTCAGAATTAGTGCAATATCCCTCTTTTTAGTTATGTCTCTGCATGTGGACAATTGACAGAGGGTGGTATGAACCAGATGGGTTTATTAAATAATTCTTTTAGTCACAGTATGCCCAATAGGGACATGTGACTCAGGTCAGTTATTTTTTCAATCAATTACTTAATGTTGCTCATGCAGATGAAAATTTTTGATACTTCTGCTTAAGATCTGCCCAGACTCAAGTCAAACTGTAGTAATCATGGCTACTACAACGAAGCTATCAAATAATGGTCACTTTGTCAACTAATATTAATATGTGAGATTCCTTTACATGGAAGTGAATGCTTTTTTGTTCAAGGATTGATTCCTGATACTATAGAAATGTAATTGGTGATGATGTATGACTTCATTAATGTTAGTTTTGGCACAGCCAGAATTTTTCTTGGGGCAACTTTCTGATTCAGTTTTCACCACACTCCTTAGCTAGAGAGCATCAGGTAATTCAATAGTTGTCAAATACTTTTTGCTCTGGAAGCACAAAATACAATGAACCAATGTTCAATAACAAGTTATTTATGCACACATGCAGTTTCAGTGATATTAAGATATAATACAAGAGTTAATGCAGATTCATTGATGGGGAAAATTCATGAACTGACATTGTATATCTTGGGCTACTGGTAACACTGTACAGTGGGCCCATACCATTTTCACATGGAGCATTTGTCCATTGTCCTTGTTTCTGTGAAAACAGGTTGAAATTAGTCAATAGATACAGGCACCTAAAGGTATTCAATAAAAGAAATCGGTTTACACATGCTATCACTTCATTCATTGTGTGTTTTATGGGTTCAAGAGGTTTTGAAGACCCCACATCTCAATAGGTTCAAAAACTGCCATTTATTGAAAGGAGTAACATATTTGTGCAAGCCAGGCTATGTTGGCACACTGTCAGCATTGTCACTGTGCACACTGTCTTTTCCCCCTTGTGAGCCCAAAGCTCACAATGGGGGACATGACATCACAGTTAACATATTTTCTGACCAGATATTTCTGAAGGCTCACTTCTCCAGGTTTTCTTGACTAATTTCAATATACTTTCACTGATGCTGAAATAATTAACAAGGATATTGAAATTAATCATGAATATCTTGTTATGGGTATTTAAAATGACTGGTTAAAATATATGTTGGTTGTGCTGATGAACCTGAGGATTTTCCTGATGTATTTGTACGTAGATGCTGCTACTTTATCATGGATCCAAATTAGTGCACACAGCGCTGCAGTGGGGTCTGTAATGAAATACAAGATAATACGAGAACAAGAACAAATGATATATTATAAAATTTAACTCGGCCAGAGGTCATCTTGCATTCATTCATCCACCTTGTCAATGCCCATAAAGTAAGAAAGGGAAGGAAAGAATCACATCCACATATATACATACAAACAAGGACAGAGTCAGCCCTGGTTCCTGGAGGTTTAAGATTTTATCTTGTATATCCAAGTCAGGAGGATGTCTCTTGGAGGTGGGAGGTGTAAGAGAGGAGATGGCTCCTTCCCCAGTATCCTTAGATAATTACATCTGTCTCAGGGACCAAAAGCCCTCCCCCATGAACTATTTTCTTGCACATATGACAGAGTGCCAACATGGCCTGGCTCATGCTGACCTGCTTCTCTTTCATATACAGGCAGTTTTTTAATGTCTTTGTGTATAGGGCTTTTTCAAAACCTCTTGCATTGGCAAAAAGAAGAATTGGATGGTATACAAATGACTTAATTTTTAAAAAGGCCTCACTGTCAGCATGTTAACTAATTCTCTGATTGGACATTTTAATATAATAGTGCATCTGGATTCTCTTTATTTAGTTTGTTTAAATTTTAGCTCAATCAGTTTTCACAGAAAGAAGGCCAATGGGCTAGTGTGCAACAAAAAACTTCAAAGGCATTGGTGCTCTTGTTCAAAAGTTGCAGAAATATAAAAATTGGTCCCTACTTTATTGACTGAAAATGCTTAGTTCTGATACAACTGAGACAAGTTTGCCAGCTCTTTTATCTTTCCTCTTCCTTCAGCAAGCAGATGGCTACATTGATGTCCTGAGGTCCTACTTGACAGAAAAGGGGTCAACAAGATCAATCCCATTGTTTCCCAGTCAAATAATTCAGGATAGAGAAGTTCAGCTACTTGATGGTGAGATGTAATTTCTTTCAAGTGCTACCATCAACTTATATTGTCTGTTTGCTGCCCATACATGTGACTGTCTCTGCTACAATGACCACTTTGGATAACAATGACAGCTTCTTGTGAAGATTTCAAGATCATATGGGGAGGTTGTACTTCATGACAAGTTGTGACCCAAAGTATTGTTTATGCAAGCAAAGTACAACATTTTTAGCTTAGATACTCATTTATTTTATCTTTACTTTGCATTCTTTTTTCACTGAATTGAATTTATTTCTTTGGCACTATAATGTATCACTTTCTTCCCAGGTGACAATTTTTTATACTCCCAACCACATGAAGTGCATGAGAGTTCTTGTGTCATGATATACTTCCAATGCCTTGTTGAAGACACCCACAACAATATGCTGGTTGGGCTTTTCTGTCAAATCATCAATGAACTCTGTTTTGATGTCCTTCGCACAAAAGTATGAACTTTTCCAGCATTATTGTACTGTAACCAGCCTTTCCTTGTGATGGATTAAAAAACCCATGCTCATCCCAGGAGCAACTGGGCTATCTTGTTTTCAGTGGAGTGAGGCAATCTAATGGTGTTCAAGGAGTGGCTGTTATTGTTCAGTCACTTTATGACCCTGAGTATCTCAACTCAAGGATTGAAGCCTTCCTTGATTATGTTCAGGTAAGACACGTTTTAGAGGCACCTTCTTTGATTCTCATTTTTGCAATATATCAACAAATTGCAAGTGATGGAAATGAAGCCGAGCCCCTTCTTTTATGTAGGCATTCCTCAATAAGTAGCCAATGAAGGGAAAGGCCCCATCCTTTACATCCAGACAGAGGTTAGAAGGATTCATGCAGTAATGGATTGATACATGGAATAGATACAGAGAACTTCATCACCTGTCTGTATAATTGGCATGTGAGTCTTTATTCCATTAGTTGACTCCTTGGACAATGGACTGCACTGAGGAGAATGTTAGATGGTTTGATTCAAGACAAGAAGAACCAAGAACAGAATTCATCAGTGCACATTCACATTTTGTAATCTTCAATTACATTACTTTCTGGAGTTTGCTTGAGGGGGGATGGTAAGCAAAAAATGAAGCATTGCATGCTTCACTTTTTGCTTATCATCAAGAACTGAACTGTTTATTTTATGGGAACATGAAAAAATTGTAATGCATCTGATGTCAATTAGGAATGTTTAATACACCCAGAAATTGTAACCAGTTGAAGAATCACTAAACATTTTATTTGTGGGCCATCCTCTTCATTTCCCTGGATATGGAAAATATATCCATGCTCACTTGGTCAATGTCTTTGGGAGACATTAGATATACGCCCAGAAAAATTCTGACTATCTCTTTCCCCTATTATTTACTCATTTTTTGTGACCTTACTAAATTGTCAAGCAGGTCCTGGGTCCTGACTCATACATGTTACAGGAAGTAATTGCTGATCATGGCATAATTAGTTTCAGCACTACTGTTTTATGAGCTTCAGACACAATATGAAAGAAATTAAGCTAGTATCCCTCCCCTGTTTTGTACAATGAAGTCACTCAATCAGTCATGTACTACCACCAACTGTCTCAAGTCCTACAAAGTGGAGTTTGAATTAGGAGTGATGCTTCTGCCTATGGAGATTTCCAGGACTTTCTCAATGGTGTGCTAGACACAGTTATGTTTGCATTTATGATTTTCCAAGGTTTTATAGGTGTTTCCCATTGACATAGTTTCTGTCATTCTTGTGTTTTCCTTGAAGCCTGCAGGATGATTTAAATCTAAAAGTCTCATCTGCTTTTCCTACTCTGGAGTCAACCAGGGGCATGTTTTTGCCTCTCCTTTGTACCTGAGTCTCTCTTCTTTCATAATTTTTTTTCTTTAGTTTAAATATATTCCATGTATAGATGCTGTACTTGCTAGTTCTCTTATAACAGCTAAGTTTTCAATGTATTTGCTTCTGAAGAGATGTTATTGTCTCAGCTGCCAAACTTTAATCAATTAAATCAATGTATATAATCTATGGCAGGGGTTCTTAAAATGGGGTCCATGGAGTCGGTAGATTAATGGAATATTAAATATATAATTGAAGGTAGCTCCTTGAAAACATCATTTACCATCACAAGTGCAGGTGTTCCAAAGTTTCTGATAACTGGGGATGGGAGTCCATGGGCAATACTTGAGGATCTGGGGTAGAAGGTGCAAAAAAGGTTAAGAACCCCTGCTCTATGGAAAGCATGAATTGTAATGCCTTTTTTTTTTACAATTTTTCTAGGAATATCTGACTGAAATGAAGGAAGAAGACTTTAAAAAACATAAAGAAGCCCTGCATTCAAGAATTTTGGAAAAACCAAAGAAGATGAAGGGAGAAAGCTCGAAAATGTGGGCAGAAATCACATCCAAATATTATCACTTCAATCGAGATGAAATAGAAGCTGAGCACCTACGTTCCCTCACAAAGGAGGACATCATGAATTTCTATAAGGTTGGTATAGTTTGTCAGTATTGTTTACATGAACATGGATTTATGAGTACACTAAGTTGTTTTTAATCCCAAGACCATATGAGGCCTCCTACTTTGTGGGAAATGTTTTAATCAGACCTCTGAGGTGGATTTCTGACTGTGAACTCATGAATTCAGCAGTCCTTGCTCTCTCTTACTCTTCCATTCCCTTACATAGATTCACAACTTGACATGGCTACCTACATATCTTCTACACCTATTCCTTCATTGCATTTATTCATTACTGATTCTGCTACCATTTACAATGCTGAAAAAAATTACTTCTACCTCAGTCAGTGACCAAGTTTCAATGAACTTTGAAAAGTTTCATCTGTTCCCAAGGGTTGTAACAGAATTTTCCATAAATACTGCCAGAACATTTAAATGAAACATAAATATTTTTTTTTGCATACTAGGAGAGTCTCAATTGAGTCATTTATTAAAAAGAGTTGCCTGCTTCAATGTTCAGAATTCCTCATCCTAATAGTACTGTTGTACATACTGTTTTAAGGTGTTCCTATCTCATTGTATCTCTGTTTCTACTCTTCATCACAGGCACAGCGATTTTCCCCAGCCAAAGTGGCAATGTGATTTATCCCACTGACAGAAACTTGAAAAGACAAACTTTGTTTTATGTCTGAAGCAGCTAGTTGGTGGGGCTACAATGATGCTGCATAATACCTAGAAGCTTCAATGCAATTTGGCAGGAGTAGTGAGTCAGGGTTTAGAGAAATGGGTAACTTCATGTCAAATCAAAGCAAAAGAGAAAAAGAAAACTGAACTGACCCCCTTCAATTTTAATAAAATTTTGTGGACTTGTTGGGTACTCTGAGAAACTAAATCACAATTTTTCAGCTACACAGGTCAGGTGCTTTTTGAGGTACTATGAATTGAATATTGCCAAAAATGCCAATCTGGTCTGGTAGTCATCACTCAAGTGCCTCTTTGTTCTGTCTTTATTAACATAGAGAGATGAAATCACAATTTTCAAGCTCTTTTAACAATTTGCTGCAGTTGTTGAAATTCCTTACCTGGTCATACATGTTCCTGCAAACATATATCACAATTCTGAAACAAAAGAGTTAATGCCCTTTCATATGATGTGGGTTTCATGAAGTTTGCAAGAGAAAAATAAAGTTGAATGTCAAATGGTTTTACTTTTGACCTTTAACTTCAGATACAGTCAATTTCTCAAAAAAAACTGAAAACAACATTCAAAACTTTGTCCCTTTGAATGCAAGAAATTTCAATTTGGGATAGCCAGGTAATCAAAGATGTGAACAATAATGTGGCAGAAAGCTGCCACATCATTGGGGATATCATTATTTCCAGTGAGTTGCAATTTCTTGATTTTGCCTATTCTTAGGGCTCTGCTCAGAACAGGCTAATATTCTTAATTCTTCTGGACCCTTTGGATTGCCTTCATTGCTTTTCTTTCAGTGATTTTTGGTTGGTGTTATATGGATGGATACCATATATACATTGGGCTTTCTTTTCATTCCATTTAGGACTTCATTTATCATGAATCTAAGAAGCGACGTAAACTAGCCATCTATGTGCAATCTAAAGTGAAACCTAAAGATCAACCTTCTTCCCTGGAGCTTCATGGTGCACCTTCTCTGAAAGTGGTAAGGTCAAGCTCCTGCAATTATTGTTTTCTCAGTTTTCTTCATCCCTAGATATCCACTGGTAGTACATGGTGCATGTATGGACCTGGAGTGGCTAAATTAGTATTGGGTAATGAGAAGAAAGGTTACTTAGGAGCATTTATTTCTCCCATAAATTGCCTTGTCAGGAAGCTCTGTGGTATGAAAGTATCATTTACAGCTCCATCCCAGAAGTTGATGACTCTTGACTGCTTCTTATGAATCATCAAAGTCACAAGTTATGTTAACAAGTAAAGGCTCATCTACAAAAGATGAACTAGAGTCCAAATGTTAAAAATAAAAACAGCCATATGTATCTGAAACCATCAGTAGTGAGGCAAGGGCCTGTTCCTTGTTACCTCTCCTTCCATCATCAATGTCCATTGTTGGACAAAGGCCTCCTCTATAGTTTTTCTTCTATCAACTCTCAGAGGACTCCAGTCCTTCAAGATTTTATATTTAATCTATTCGTTCTTTAGTTTTCTATTTGAATGTATTCCTTGTCTTGACTGCTATTTGGTGAATGATTTATCCATAGCTCCATATACCATTCATGCTAGGTGTTTAGTGCAGATCTGTTTGCTCTTCTCAATAGAATGCATGATGCCCAGGACTGGTGTCCTTTCTCCTTTATTCAAGGGAACAGGGTATTTTATTATCTCTTATGCTAATTCCTGCCACTGATCTCTCCATGCTCCTTTGTGAATCCCTACCATGTTAAAATGTATACTTGGATAATACTCAAATTAGACCAGGGCTTCATTGAGATCCAGTAGAGGAGAGTAGAGATCCATTCTGCCAGTATTCAAGTGTGGTAGTATTGGTTACAACAATGACTGGCAGAGATAAAACTTTATTAAATATAGAGTAGAATATTATTCCAAGAAAGGAGAGAATCCAAATAGCAGACCTACTCACTGCACTGGCCCTTTTTGAGGTATTGTAAATTTGATATGCTTCTTAAAAGCCTTCATTGCTAAAAGCTTGTCTCATTGGCTTCCCCTTTCTTTGAGACACTATATTTCCATATAACTTACATATAAAATTGCACTTTGAGCCATTTTCTTTGCCATTCATGGATGAACTATACAGTGTTACCTCCAGGTCAAGTTCATACAACCTATTTTACAACTTATGAAATTGAGGGTGAGCCAAAAAAAATTAACAGACATGAACTGATTTGATATTGAGCTTAAAGCCTGTAAAAATGAATTTGAAACTCAACAGCTTATTATGTCACATGAAGCAAGTGCAAGTTTTAATTCTATGTTTTCATCTTTTGAACCTTTCTTGCCTTTTACTTGTCTGTTTTTTATTGTTAGTTTTGTTTCTTAATTTTCAAAAATCTATTTTTTTTTTTAACATGGTTCAAAGATAGGGGTCTTTATACTGCACAGCTGTGATAGGCATTCACAACTTGAGTGCTTTTGATTTTACACTGCTTGACTTTAAAAGAGAATCTTGATCCGTACAAAATTGTATGCATTATTTTTTCATTTGGAGTGTCATTTCCATAATTTTATTTTCCATAATAATGGGAAGCAAATTAATAACTGTATGTCCAAATATGACCTGTTTCTGCAATGAGTCAAAATAAAGAAAGCTTCCAGGGACTTGTTTCCATAAGATAAAAATACACATATCTGGAAGTCTGACCATTGCTGAGAAATTTTCACTCATTGTGATACCTTTGCCTCCCCTTGAAGTCCCAACTGCCAGATTTCCCTCTCTTTCAGTGTCGAATTCCATGGAAAATAGTTGCTCAACTTAAGTTATTTTGTTTTTTTTTTCCCCACAAAGACAGGCTTTTGCTTCCCTAATTGTAACTACCATCCTGATCTTATTATTTCATATTAACCAGTTTTATAATTGGAATCTAATGCTGTTGTTCCACCTAGTAGTACCATGATTTTGGTTCAAGACTGACAGGATTGAGAATCATAAGTTGAGAATGAAAATCTATAGCTTTTCTTAGCAGCCTAGAGGAAAAACTGTAGCACTATGAATTGTATAAAATCTTTTTGTTCCAGGCCAAGACAGTGGTGGACATAGTCGAATTCAAACGTCACCAGGGGCTCTACCCACTAGCAAAATCCTATCTGGATGTGCCTGTGATAGGAAGAGGCCTGTCAAAGCTGTGATAACAGCTGCTCTGCTGATTTCCATACCTTTATGTCATATTGGGATGCTTATCTGGGGGAATAACTTGTCTGCAGATTGCAGATCTGCAGTATCTGAATAAATATACAGTGTAAGTGTACATTTTGTATTGTTGTTTCCTGTCCTGAACATGCAATAAACAGCTTCTAAAAAAAGAAGAAATATAAGAAACAATCACAGAGAAGTCCCTTATACATCACATCACCTACCTATGCATCAGAATTCACAAATAGCTTAGTAAAAACTTTGAATTCCAATCCACCTGGGAGAAGCTGTCAAAAACTGCTGAAAACCAAACTGCAAAAAATAATAGTCCACACAAGAAGGTTGTTAGAAGTTTCTTTTTTGTGACTTTTTAGGCGTTTAGTAACTTTCTATTTGTTTAATATTTATTCATGACATTCACATAAAAAGTTGTTTAACACATTGGTGACCTGCCCCGGGGCCGGTCACCAACCGCTCGCGAGCGTACTACGAGATTTCTCGGGGCCCGTCACCAATGTGTTAATATCGCTATTGAAATCCTCTGATTTTCTACAAAGTAGAAGAGTGAAGAGGCTGTGGTATGTGTTACTCAAGCTCACTAATAAATTTTTTTACTCTTTAAGTCTCTTTAGTGTAACCTGAGAAACCATCCAAATTTTCTGGCCACTCAGACTTTAAGTTAAGGAACTATAGTGGAATGGAACGTATTGAAAAGATTTGTGCACGTATACCACAGAACACTCGAAGAGAGCATTGCTTTGTAAGGAAAACATGAACACTCCCTAATAGACCATCTAGTAATTGTGAACAGGGCCGCCCAGAGGAAGGGGGAGAGGAGGGGCAAAGGGAGCAATCTGCCCCGGGCCCTGCGTATCACGGGGTCCCAAGGGGGCCTCCAAAAGGTCCCTGGTTTAGGTTTGCCCGGGCCCCTGGAAACCTCTGGGCGGCCCCGATTGTGGAAAACTGCCAATTCCTTGGAAAAGAGAGTTTTGATGTCATTGTTGGGTTACTTCCAATCTCTGTCAGGGAACAATAGCATAATATAAAGAATATATGAAACTCGGAATTTTCCTGCTCAGAACGCTGAACACGGCCACGTCAGCAAGTTATGGCAACGATTTCTTCGTGGTCTTGGTTCCTCCATGACAGTTAAATTCAGATCTGGTACATTGCTTTTCACTCGAGTTAGACCAATTCTCACTTGACTCAGACACTCGTGCATGAGGAACATCACATGCACAGGTGTCCGAGTCAAGTGAAAAATTGTACGACTCAATTGAAAAACATTGTAGGATGCGATCAACTGATCCTACCAACCGCCAAACTTCGTCTCAGCTGAGTGGATCCTCCACGACGGTGCACGAACGCCAACGCCACATCGCATGGATACGCGAGAAAAGCAGTAGTCAGTGTCTGATGACGTTGGCGCCGTTCTGCATTCAGACCGCGGCAGTGAACACCAACGTCACCGACGATTTGCCGATGTTGTAGGCCACCTGGGTACATCCTAGAATTTACAGTGCTTTCGCGATGCGTTCACATACCCCCATAAAGCCATTGGCGCTACTAGTGTTTCCACTTGAGACATCTTCCAAATACCAATTCACGTCAAACGTAAGACCAGAGGAAATGTTTGTTCCGCTGCTGTCGGTAAGCCCATAGAAAACAATGGTATGCATTGAAAGAATGTATGAACGGTATTCGTATGAACGGCTGCAAAGATCAGCTCATTTGGAATATCCAAGCTTCTAGTTTCGGGCTTCCTCCTCCTTGACGATGCTCTCTCTCGTGAGTTGAGATCGACTTAGCAGAGGACCAAAGGGAACATCCAGTCTCAGACGACGAACCTTGGAAACAGAACCTGGAACGCCGGCACCGGACATGGGGAATTTCCTCCTCGAAATGGAAACGTTGCAGCATTTTCTCGCCTTCCTGAAAAATCGGCGCCTTCTGGTTTTGAGACGATCTTGTGTCTCTGGAGTAAAGGAGCTTGTCTCCGAGAAGTTCTGAGGGACAGTGTATCCCAGGATAACAAAAAAATTATCGGGTCTTCTATTGAGCAGTCATTCTTCAGGTAGGAGGATCATGTCTGAATGGATTTATAAGGTGCCACACTGAGTAAAATTGTTATTGGTATCAATGAGACCATTAGCCTATTACTTTGGGATTGATGTGCAGACTATATACACAACATGTTTCTGTCCATGTGAAGCATTATCATTGTTCTCATCAAAATTAATTTTCAAGGGAGTTGACAGCCCTGATGGCAGTATGTACGCTAGCAGTCAGGCGCGCGTTGGTGCTGTCCATAGGCATCTGTTATCGTGATATGGTTCGATATAGTGATCATCATCGCTAATCAGATTATCGTGGGGCACAAGGTTGATGTGAGCAGGGAACACGGACTTGGCTTCAAATTAAAAAATGTAAGAAGCAAGTAACATTTGGGCTCTTGGATCTTTGGCCTATTGTAACCTTAACATAATGAGGAAATAGACGTTAGACCCTTAGGTCTGTGATAGGGTTATTCGTAGACCTAGTTCAGGGCTAGGCCTAATTTATGTGGATTTCAGTTGAAGATGTGACATGATTTCACTGCAGAGGCATATTTTTTATAATAACCTGTCTTGTTCGACTGATTGAAAATCTAGTAGTGGCTTCTGTTAAAAGCTATGTCCTTAGCCTCTGATTTTAGTGCTTGTTTCTCAATATTATCATGTTCCACGAGACAATGAGGGTCGCAATAGGGCTGGAACATTGGACTACTACAGCAGAGTACCTCCATAGATTTTACACCAAAAAGGAATATTTTTGTCTTGCTTTAAAAATTCATGCACAAAAGGGTTAAATTTGTACCCTTACCCCAATTGGAACAGAGAAGATGCTATTTCCAGGTTATCATCCAGGTGTCAAGCTTACTGCATTGCAGGGCAGTTGTATTGTCAGTGATGGTTTAGGATGGATCATAGAGAAGAAAATGCACTTTTTTCTTGTGAAAGGGCAAAGAGAGAAATACTCCAGCTCTCTGAATGTAATTTGACCCTGGTGAAGTGATGTACCATCTTTGAGTATGATTGCTTGTCATCTAACATCTACCAGTTGACTAGTTTGCAGGCTCCCTCAGTTATAAGAAGCTTTGTGCATTCTGTCTTACTGTCTTCAGGGCAAAATCATATAGTTTTCAATGATATGAAGTAAAACATGTTGATAGTATCATCAGTCTGGGCAGGACTCCTGAGTCCCACCTGGACTGAAAGGGTTAAACTATTGATATGTAAGTACATTGTGACATTTCTAATTTTCACCTTTGTATAATGTAAAACAGGAATGGTCACAATGACAAGATTTAGTTGAGTCATCTTATCTTTCTTGACACATCCTCTTTGCCTCACCCTCCTTCCTTAAGTCATGAGAAGAGTGGGCAAAGGGGGAGGCCACATTTCTACCTTGGGGCACTTGAAACATTGATCTAGCCATATAAGCTTCTTCAGATGATTTTGCCAATTTCCTTCATGAATCTAGGACAAAACTGAGTTAATAAAAATGGGCTTTCTGTTTTTGTACACATAGTGCATTAGGCCTACCAACTTCTTGTCTATCAATGCATTAAATGTTTTGCAACTATTTAAAGGTTTGCAGGATTTCCATGCATAAAAATCCCAGCCCTAGTGATATCTAGCTACAGATGCCTCATGCTCAATGAGTGATTCATATACTTTTTTTTCTCTCTCTCTAAAGGGTTAGACTTTTATCTCTCTTGGATTCAGGTTGATAGTCATCCATGATAGTATTAGCACCTCATGCCAAGCTTTCCCCACCCCTCCTGAAAAAAATTTTAATGCAACAAAGCCATCACTGGAACTGTATGCAGCTAGGGTATGAAGGGATTGCCTGCATGAAAAAGGGAAGAAAGAGAAAGATAATGTGGGAAAGGTGGCATTCTGTGCAGAAATAATGCTATCTTACCAATCTGACATTACTGTGCACTTCATATGGAACCCACTTAGATCACTTAGAGTGTATATTTCCAAATGGGACCTGTGTATTTAGAGTTGCAGCTTTGACTGATGATATTGCAATTTCTTGTGGTAAGTTAATAGTGATATAATAAAATAAAAGAGTTTAAGTTATAGAAGAGAAGGAATATTTATGAAGAATAGTTTACAGAAGGCAAATTACTTTGTGATCTCCTCTCTTAAGTGAAATAGTCCTCTGATCTCCCTGGACTTGCACAGGTATCACATTTCAGTTGATGCCAGACAGTACCTATGAGAAGGTGCTCTTCTCCCTTACTCTTCTACCATTCTTCTCCTATTCCTCTTACCCCCAACCCACAGTGGCTCCAGTTTGGTTCCCCATCCTGATGCTTTCACTCATTTTATCCTTGAAATGCTCCAATTAATGCTGAGCTGTTAATTCTATTTGCAGGGACAATCCTGAGGTGATGCGCATGCAAGAATCCCTTCATCAAAATCTCATTCTTCTTGGATTAAAAGACCTTGCACCCAAGTACAAAATTCCATTTGCAGAGGTAATGTTGCCTCTCACTTTGTGACTAGTGCATTGCAGATGAGGAAGTCACTTGATAAATATGTTATTGGAACAGAAATACACCTTTTTTATATGCAAAAAAATTGAATCTCATCAGTTCATGTAGAAGTTCCTGTTTTTAGATGTTTCTTGCATGGAAACTACAGAGTATTAGTTTTATCTGGATCTTACTGAAGAACAAAAGGAGCTGGCCTTTTGTGTAGGAAGCAATTCCATGTTCTCTATGGGTTTCAATTTACCTAATCTTCCAGTATTTCTTTTCATGAGATTTGACTTTGGCAACAGGCTGTTTACATCTGCAATGGTGATTCAAGCATTCAGCACTTTTTCATCCTAGAATTTCTCTGCACCATTAGTGCCAAATGTGGATTGCAGCTGCTTGTAGGAAAAACCATTAGTATCAACTCCATCTTTACATGAGGTTAATGTTTCTGAATTCAGGGTTTGTGCCATTCAAATTCTGCTTGCTTTGAATGACCAGAAAGGGGTTACTCCTTATGGCAAAATGACTGAACAGCAGTGAAATAAAAGATAGCTGTGCATGCACATGAACCAGTCCATTCTTCCTTCTTGCTATCTCCAACTACTTCTCTGTCCCTAAATTCATGGTTGCATGAATTGACTAAAGGTTTTGCCAAGTTGTGCTTTTCTGTCTGCAAGCTTTGACATTCACCTTTCTTTTTTCTCTCATTTCCTCAATCTGCTTTTTGAGTCATTCAAAAACACCTTACTTGTCATAGGAACTTGTGAATTTTCATGTTTTCTCAAATTGTGTCTGAGAAGTCTTTCACTTGACAAGCTACTACTTCAAAACTTAAGTCTTTTGCATGTTCACTTTCCTTTGGCCATCACATATTTCAGTTGATGCTTACTTAATGTTAACTACAAGGTGCAACAAGATTTGGCAATTGACACGAGACAGGAATTTCATCCTTGAGTTTTCAGTTAGAGAGTGCTCTGCATGTTGGTCTACATCGGGTGGCCAAACAGTGGCACCTAAGCAGATCAAATGTGGCTCACAAGGATGTGAAACTTTTTGTAAAAATTGTAGTGTTTGCTTGTGTAAAGTGGTGTGTGTCTTGTGTCTCTCAGTGTCTCTTAGGAATATTTTGTTATATGGCTTGTAAGGTCAGAAAGTCTGGCCACCCCTGGTCTATATGCTCATGGTTCCAAGGATTCCTTGGCAGAATCATATCACTTACCATGTGTAAATTTTTTGTGGGTTCAGTCACCAGTTCCTCTAGACAAATTCTGTGGTTTTAAACTGTAGTGGTACCATTGCAATCAATTAGAGGCATTAATGTATCACAAATGGAGAAAAGGGAAAGGCAAACCCAAAATATGAATGGCCAGAAGACTTGGGCCTATTGGATCATGTACTTTCAAAAATGCCTACTGTAGGTAAGCAGCATTAGAATTATTGCCAATATGGTAATGAATTCCAGCATTTGGAAAAGAATAGGAAGCATTAAGATATTGAACATTCTTTGTTGGATGCTATTTCAGTGAAGATTTTGACCTTCAAATGCTGCCTCTAAGCCATCTAAAAATCTGGTTATGGAACCAGATTGATGTCTTAGCAAACTTGCAGTAGTTGTGGCTCACCAGCTGTGGCCTAAATCTTGTGAACAGTTCTTTTCCATTGCTTTTGAGTAATTCAAGAAAGTTGTGGATTCTTTCTTGAGTGCATTCATCCTTTCTTCAATTTAGGTTCCATTCAGGGTGCCAAATCGGACTACATTCTTGGCAGTTGCTCATTTTCTCTCTTCATACTGCAAGGAAAGCAAAGAGCTTGGTGTTCCCCCATGGCCTCTCCAAGATAAGAAACAAGAAGCTCAGTTTGTGAATGCCTTCACCACATTGATGCAGACGCTGAAAAAGGTTAGATCACCAGTTTCCTGGTGGTGCATGGATATTACATGTCCCATCTCCCAGAAGTCTTTATTCCCTTAGAAAGCCCCTTCATGCATCCTATTGAGTCAGGCTTTGCAAAAAAAAGTTTCCAGCCAGCCTTACACCTGAAGTAAACCCTTGAATTTAGAAAAGGACACATCATTTATCATCAAATGCCTTTTACATATTCAGTTATGTCAAGTGTTTGTTTCCAAAGTTCAATTGGTTCTAATTCTTGTCCCTTTTAAAATGAAAAGAGGGGACAATTTCTGGTTTTTATGTTTCATAGAGCTGTGTTTGTACCTGTGAACGTATTGATTTCCATTAATCTGATGAACTTCCATATTATATCAGTACCGTATACAGTTCTTACTGCATCTTATCACCTTGACTTGACTTTCTTACATTCCATGGCCTCACAAAAGGTGTATTTACCAATTCCATTGCGAAAAGAGTTATTTTAATTACAAAAGTTGTATTTCCTCCTCATTTCCAGTGGAAACTTTTTGATAAGGATGTTGCTTGGTTTAATAGGTCATACATAGTCACATAAATTCAATAAGGTCATATCTGAAGTCAGGCAAAATTTTAACAAATTTATTAAATATTCAGCATCCTCTTTAGGTTTCATATGAAACTTTCATTTCATCTTCAATGTAGTTAATGCAATAGCAACATGTCACATGAAAGTGCTTTTATATAGGTAATTGATATATTGAATCAATTTCTATTTCCTCAAGAGTCAGATAGAACTTTAATTTTGTTGAACGAAGGTGATGAGGTGTAAATGAAAGTTGAGACTAACATCTGAATATCACTGATTTGAATTACTTAATGAAAATCTGAAAGGAGACCATATGCCAGTAGGGTTGAATTTAATTATTGATTGTTATATATATATTATGGATATCAAATTACCCCTTTCTGTACTTGATATTTTCTTCTCATTTTTCCAGGTTATTTTTACAGAAAGACATTCATCCAGTATGCAAATCAGCCTCAAATTTCAACTTTTTCTCCTAATATCAGCTTTGATTAGGATTTCATTATAATTAGAGTTTTAATTGATAAACAATAGGAATGAAAAAATGGATGGATGGATCCCATGCTTCAGAATAAGTGCTTCATAAATGCATTCAGAGGCATCATATGCATAGAATTGTTTAAGATTGTTTTCAGTTCCTGTGCCCAATTTTTCATAAAATGAGGGGAAGGACTAAATAACCAATATCCCCATTGTAACCAGTATAACCATTGTAACTGTTAGGGTCAATTCTTGTGTTTCATTTTATAGCACTAGTATTTATTTTGGTGGTCTTTTACTCATCAGAATCATGAAGAGGCAGGTCTTCCTTCAGTGTCAACAGTCATTTGGATGCAGCCTGGGGGAGTGACCTTTCTTGATGGAAAGTTTATCCACCCCTTGCTGATGCTCTCCCAATTCATTCTCCATCAGATCACTGCTTCCATGAGTGAGTGTCTTGTGCCTCATGGGAACAAAATCCATTCAGTATTCATATTGTGGGATATCTCCAAGCAATGTTTTAGAGTGGCTAATGAGAAAGTATGAATCATTCAAGGACACTTTTTGGAATGAACTGGTCATTGTATGTGAGATACAGTTGATGCTCAATATAATAGCCTCTATATAAAACATTTCCTTTTTTATGAAAATTTTCCAAGTCCTTAGCCATTTGCCCAACAATTCATTAAGTTTGCTAAGTCATTTTATGTCTGAAGGAACAAAACTGTTCTGTATTACAAAGTTTAAGTCTGTGGCACATGTCAGGGCTACTTTCTTTTGCACATTCCTGGAAAATCTCATCTAAATTAAGCATGCTCCACTCACTTATTGGTGTGACCTTGGAGAGTAAGGAAGCTCTGTCAGAGTCAGTCTTAATCTCAGGATCTTAAGGATAAGGGCCATGCCTAGCCCAGAATTCTAATTGGTCAATCAGAGCTGTCTACCATCTTCAGCTATTTTTCAGTCAAAAGCTGAATGTTGAGCCCAAAACTTTCTAAACATTGAGTGCTTTGCAGACCACAGCTCAAAAAATCATCCAGGAAAGATCGTAGCTGACAACCATTTGGGACTTTTGAGTCCAATGAATGAACAGCATCCACAACTCATTTGCTTCTTATTACACTTGCATAAGGACACATTGCTGTGCACACCCATTTAGGTATATATACACATCTTGGAAGCTGTATTTTTTGCAATATGTCACGGACTTAGACTTTCACATTTTTTTCATGAATGGGCAACTGCATCCATTTTTGCTATAAATGACATTTTGATAAGTGGTCTCTTTTCCAGTGAAATGTGGGGAATCCCCTATAATGAATTTTCCTTATAGCTAAATTTTTTAGCCTCTCCCTTCAAGTTCACTTTATCAAACAATGACTGTATTTTGTTCAGGTTAAGCTTTGCTTCAGGCAGTGGAAGTTAGCCTGTTTAGAGAAACACTTGATGAAGAATCTTGTTTGAACAAGATGTTCAAAGTGAAGATCTCAGTGAGTAATGGGAGCCAGTGAAATTCCCAATTGTCATTCTTGGCATTAGTTGAGCCAAAGTTCAGGCATCAGTTCAGATGATGTCCAAAAATTGGGATTGGGGGCAGTATTACATGGGGCACTCAGAAAGAGTGACTCTGGGTGTGACTTCATGGAATGGGTCACACAAAAAAGCTTTTTTACACCTTCAGCTCCACATGATTTGAGATTGTGTGCAAATTTTCAAATATATTCATGTATTCAATTTATGACATTTCATAACCTGCATGCCTGCAAGTTGTCTAGCCTCAGTCACAACTATTTGGTGCAAGGTTCATCGGTCATTGCTCACCATTCCCTTCAAAGTTCAGCATACCAGAAAAATGCTATGCTGGATCACAGGGCACCACCCCCAAATGCACCTTGCACCCTGGCAATGCTCTGCTCTTGTGTTAAGCCACACTGGAAATCACAAAAGTGCTTGTGGATCCATTGTTCCAAGATCCATTGCCAGATGAAGAAGCTTATAGGGTATAAAATGACAAATAAATTACTGAAAGATTTTAAACAGACTCATCTCAATTGGAGCTGAAAGTGTAGTGTACTTTCCTACACGAAGTCTTTCGAAGTCACAAAAATTTCCTACGTGAAGTCACATCTGGAAACTTTTTTAGTACCCTACATACTAGTACTAAATCAACCCCCTACTTTATTATATGATTTCAATTGTAAGCTGACCTCAGTGTGGCATTGTTGGATTTACTGCCCTAGGTGGTGCAGGAGAAGTGCTCAGACTGTCTGAATGTGATGAGGAAAGTGCACATTCTGAAGTAGAAATGTACCGTTGTATGAGGGACAATCTGAAAATCTTCCTTGACAAATGGCACCCTGTATCACAGCACATCATTTTACAGTCACGTGCATTGGAGAATAAGAAGAAGAAACTTATTGCTCAATTAAAACTGTTGTGCAAGAAGACCAAAACAAAAGCAGCTGATGTGGAGACACAACTGGCTGAAGTGGTTCACAAGAAAGAAGTTCTGGTTGCTGAGGAAATGCTGAGGGAAGCTAAGGACATGATGAAGAGTCACATCTTGGCATGGGAGAAATTGAAACAAGTCATGGAAGGCAGTACCAATGCTAAAATTGTCATAAAAAAGGAGGATGTTTCTACACCATTGCCAGAGATCTTAAAGGTCAAATTCCCTCGAGAGGTGTTTGAGGAAGGACTGGACAAACCAGAAATCAATGAGTTGCTACGGATCATCAAGGCAGGCTCCCTGTGTCTTCGTCTCTTGGAGAGTACTCTGCACCCAGATGCCTGTGAGTTGATTAGATATCTTCTCCACCCACCAAATTGTGACTATATTGGAAATATTTTTTCAAGATAAGGGAAGCATTCCCCAATACCTTACGTGTCAGCATGATTTTAGTAGGGTGAGTCATTTTCAGTTACTCAACTCAAGAAAATTCCAAATAAAATCAATTGACATGCATGGAGCTTTCACCTGGACATCAGAGCTCTTTAACCCTATAACTGCTGGTTTTTGTCTAATGGACCATAATACAAAAATGTGGTCATTTGTGTTGACTGGGCCGTAAACTTATAAAGTTCAATAATCCTTGTATTTTCATGAAGACATGTGATAGTAATTTGGCAAAGTACTTAGAAGAGATTCTTAGGGAATGAAGGGATGAAACAAAGAGTTAACCCATTGCAGTATAAATTTTGGTGGTGTGCCAGTGGTTAAATCTGCAAAAATGCTAATTTTTGCAAGCAAGGAGGGTTTTGACACCTATGAATTTGCTTCATAAACGATCAGTAAACTATTGAGAATTGACTATGAGTATCAAATGGGAAATGTGTTTAGAAAATATAGAACAAAAACACATGTTCTAATACATTGTCAGGCAACAAGTATGCCCATCTTTATACTGCAATGAGTTAAACATAAGACTACCTGGATTCTGGTAGTAAGAGGGTGGGAAGAAAGAGAAGTATGGCACAATAGTCAAGTGCTATAAGAATTATGGCATTATAGCCAGAATTGTTGGATAAGAATTATGCAGCACCCTTGTGTCACAATGATTTTAAAAAAAGAGAGAAATAAAGGTTTTGTGATAAAATGTGACTTGATAACTTTAAAAAACATTAGCTGCCTGCTCTTTAATTCAAGACATCACTTGTCATATGTCATCTGATTTCTTTTTCCCTTTAGGTTGTGATTAGAATTTAAGAGGCTTTAATTTAAATAATTTTTCTTCACATTTTCTGAAATTCATTCAAAGATCTTCAACTTCAAACTTTAGTGAGAAGAATCAAGTGCCATGAATGGGAATTATTTGAAAGTCAATAAATAAATATTATTTCCAAAACATAAACTAGGTATTAAAACATTCTTACATCAAATATTCATTACTCCTATTGAGCAATTTATCTATGAGCAATTGCATACATGACCCCAATCAATGGGGCAGAGTTTTGTGCTCCTTCCCCTTGATTGGATCATGAATGTAATTGCTATTGCCATCTAACAGCATATGAGATAGTTGAAAGTAAATCAGATCCCAGTTTTGAGTCCTGTGTTTTTATGAATAAGCATTCAACCAACTCCATGCACAAACAGCTAAATATTTCCTATGTTGTGTTAAATATGTCATGTATGTGCTAGACAGAAATTGCAATAAATTACATTTATTTACCTTCAGTGCTAACATAAACCTAACTATGTTTATGGTATGCTGATCAACATAAGATTGCTATGATTGATGAAATTCCCTCTGTGGAAAGAAATTCTCTGAAATCAAGTTTAAAATACAGAGCAAAATCAGAATAGTGATCAGCTTTAACTAAAGATCAACTCTGCTAATTCTTGCTATCAAATAGTATGTAATTGGGAAAAACTCCATCAGTTCTGCAGTGTATGTCATTCCCTATGTTATTAGGTAGAATATTTTTTACACCCTTTCTCTGCCAGTTGACAAAGGAGAGGAAGTGAACATTGCTGGAGTCAGAGCTTTTCTACAGGATGCAGGAAAATTGCTACAAGAGTACTGTATGAGTACAACTGAGTTGCAAAAGAGGAATTCAGAACTCGCATTGGAGGTCTCCCAGCTATTTGAAAAAATGACTGAGGCAGAGACTAGCTTTACCACAGAGAACAATGAGTTACCAATATTTCCCAGCACACCATTGGTGCAGCATCTGGCACGCAAGAGATTCCCTGTGGACTCACCTCAGATTCCTTACTTCTCAATTACACCTCCAGGTGAGAATGATTTCTCTCCTTGTGTCTGATGGTTTCATATGTTGTAAACTTCATCAAGAGATGAGTTGTTCTCCACATTGGAGTCAGGATATACTCTAAAAAATTGTGGACCCTAAAGCAAACAATAAATTATCAAATATTGTCGAATTGAATAAATATATCTTTACAGGTGTGTCTGCATGTACAGCAAAGTTTTTTTTAATTTGAGCCTTCAGTATTTATAGCAAATTTTCAAAATGGCCTCTAGCATATGGTGTAATTTTTTCAATATTTTTTTGGAAATATTCTGAAACTCAAGGATAAAGCAGGAGCAAATGAAAAAGAGATAATGACAGAGACCTTTTGATATGCTACAGAGTGAATGTTTAGTAACCTTGTCAGTTGGCCAGACTTCCATTTTCCTCCATGTCTCATGGTCCCACCTTACTTCTACAGTAGGTGCTAAACAGCTTGCATTACAGCTTATGGCACAATCTGTTTTTAATTTGTAATCAGTACATCCCACTACATATTCTTTGGGTTCTATTAGCTGTGTCACAGCCAACTCACAAGAAGCTTTGTGTTCTATTTGCTATCATGATTCAAAACTTGCATTAAAATAAACTGTCTCAATCCAGAGAACTGAAAAGAAAATTGAGTAATTTTTTTGGGTACTGAGTAGTTTGACACTCTATGTTGGTATTGCATCTAGTTAATGCATATACAGGCTAATCAATGACTGTAAACTTTCTAACTTATCCTTATCCAAAGACTTCCTGAAGGATTCAGAGAAGATGGACAATGCCTTTGGTGTTATGCATTTATAAAGTATTCACAGGGGGAAAATATTGACTCAATTCCAACTTGGGAACTAGATGCATTGAAAGAATTAATAACTGGAAATGAATGCAAAATCATCATCTGATCCTGATGCTTTTTAGCATGAAGTCTGTGTTTAGGGTTGCAAATGTGCCCTTATGTCACTGTGCATTGCTTGGAGCATCTAATTCAATTCATCGGATATGAAGTGAGTTCACTTGACAAACTGATGGTGTTTTCTTTTTCAGTTATGCAAGTTGGACACAGGACAATGCTGGGTGGTTCTCCTGTCAGTACAAATGTTCCCAGAAATAATATATCCATGCCCCTGATTCACCATATGGATTCCACACAGATTGAGAAACCAGATGGTCCAGGTCTCTTTGCCAGTATCTTCAAAGTGGATAGTAAGTATAAGTATTGAGAGGAATTGTCACTGTTGGAATGAAATGAAATAGGTTATAGAAAAATATTGACTTTAAACCATTTTGAATCCATCTAACTTGCTGTAGGTAGGATAAAATGTTCTGCTAGGGTAGGTTTTCATCATCATTGCTTTTTACCTTTAAAAAAATATGCATACATTAAGTGGAAAAACTTGTCCACAGTTGCTGGAAATGGTATTGGAATGTGATGAAAAGACTGAAATTCTTCCTAGTTTTGACTTAAAATTTGTAAAACTATGCCTTGAATTCTTTTTCTTCTTCTTCTTTTCTTCTTCTTCTATTCTTGAATTCTTTTTTTCTTTCTCTAATATTTCTCAGTTAAGGTGCCAAGGAGTAGCAGCATGAGATTGCTTACCTCCTGAGACTTCTTTGCCGTTTCCAAAGAACAGCATCAGAAAATGAGCAGTGTTGAAATTCAAAACACTGTTCTATATACATATCTTCATATTCGGGGGGAATTATGTATTACAATGGTAGAAAGCTGGTGCAAGGTAGGATTAGAGATGTGGTTTGATTTCTTCATTAATTAAAAAATGAATGACTATAGGCTTATTCCAGCTAATCTGGGAACATAGTATATCACAAATTGCATTCCCTTGTCAAAGTAAGGAAAGAGAAGAGCAGTAATGGATTCAAGAGGAAAACTTTTGATGTTTTAATTCCCTCAAAGACATGTGACTTCAATTCCATACCATAACAAGCTTTGCATCTACATGGTGGTTTTCACATGTCCAAATAATAGTGTCATGAAAACAGCTCATGAATGTTTGACAAAGCAAGGATAAAAGCAGAGACAATCTCAATCTCTAAACCAGTATAATTGCTCTGGCATCATCACACCCAAGGAACTAGATTTCCACCTTAATCTCCAGCAAATATGTACCAAGCAGAGTATCATCTAAACTTTCACCAGTCTTTTCTTGAGTTTTGTTTTGTTTAACACATTGAATGCTAATTTAGATTACACTTGCCCACAGCTCTGTGGTGAATTATTTTAGGTGTTTAATTTATTTTATTATTATTTAGCTTTCTTTGTCAGGCAAAAATTGTGATATATATTGAATAAAAGTAGATAAAAGGCATTCACATAGTTCACTGAACATGTCTAGGGGAAGGGCATGACAAGTTCCTTTTCATTGACACTGTTGAATGGCCACAGAAACAGCAAAAGAATTGACAGGCATTTCAAAGCATTAATTTACACCCACAGCAGTGCGAGCACACTAGTGAGTGGGCATATATATCAGGTTGTAAAGGTGAAATTTAGACCTTTTCCAGAAAACAATTTATTGACAATTAACTCAACAACGACTAGAGTTCAGTCTTGCAGGTAATCAATATCAATATCAATCACATCTCGCCACTTTTGCTGCAAACTTTCAATCCCGTGAGCATAGAATGACTGGGGCCTTCTAACATTTTCCAGATTTTTCTAGAAAAAATCAAAATGTCTAAATTTCACCTTTACAACCTGATATATGCCAGGTACATTTGAAGGGTTAAGAACAAACTGTGATGGATGTATATTGTAGTTTCCCTTTACATACATATGAGGATAGACATTTTTTCTGACATCATTAGTCTTTGATTACACAGCATTCGGCTTATTGCTGGAAAAATCTCATAAATTCAAGTAATGAACTTTTTGGTCCTACTGGAATGAGCTTGAGCCCAGATGTCAGCCATGTCCCTCTCATATTTTTCTTAAGAACTCTGCAATTGAAGTTTGTCTTTGGTACCTCATTCACAGTTGAGTTGCCTTCAATGAAAATCAAGCTTCCTCCTATTCCTCAAACTCCACCATTGGCCAGGGAAGAAATGCTGGGGCAAGCTAGTGCAAAGCAGATTGGAAATCATCACCCATCGTCTGTGTTTGACTTGGCAATTCCATGGACTCTGGACAGAGATGAGCACTTCAATCGTGATGATCCATCCACGACACAAGGGTTTGGCATAGACGAATCAATGTTAATGGATCCTCCAGTTCTCTGTCAACCTCCTCAGTCTCTTCTCTCAGTCTCTCAGTCAGATGTGTGTGACAGCAGAGGCCAAGCTTCTAATAAAACTGAATTGGATCAAGATTCTCAGACACCTCCACAAACTACCAGCATCGAAAGCAAAGCACAGGAAAGAGAAAATCACAGGCCACAACAAAATGGTGATATTCAGGGAAAGGTTCCCTTCAGTTGTTTAAGTGCCACTGGGATTCCCCAGTCAACAGTTTCGGGCTCTAGCAAGGATGAAGGTGAGCCAGGAATGGTCCCTAACCTGTCTTATGCCAAGGTAAGAGTGAAGAATTACCATAATCATGCATAAATGTGTTCTCTTTTAGGTTTTACCTCTCCTGCTTGCAAATCACCATCTGAGTCAGTTTGGATCCAGAATACTACTGTATTTGAAAACCAGAGGAGTGAAACTCAACAGTTGGACCTGAGCTCTGTCAAATTGAATGGGGCAGATCCTGAGGTGCAAGCAATTGTGAATCGATATGCAGCAATGAAAGCTAAGCTCAAGCTTCAGCCATTGAAAGATTAACTATATGAAAGTACTATATGTGATTGCTATGTTGTATGTTCCAAACTTTTTCAATATCGCCATGCAACATCTTCCAGGCAGAGAAGAGTACATTAAAATATGCATAGGACATATTGTAAGGCAAGGACTGGCAATCCTTTTAACCTTCTCCCTGGCAGGGATATCCAAACACTTCAAGGATGACGATGTAATATTATGTTGACACCAGGGAAAGGATTAAGATATGTCATAAATTTGTTAAAGGCTTGAGGTGTGCAAAATGGACCCTTCAGGCCAGCAAGGCTCACCTGCTCAGAGGAAGTGGGAAAGGGTATTGTATATCTCATTTTGATCTCTTCCTATTCATTTAGGATAAAAAAATAATTATCTGTAATACATTTAAATTCCATGCACTTCAACAGTCAGCCATATCATATTTCAAGGCAAAGGGGTGTGGATAGCCATGTGCCTACTAATAACTCTAAAGGATCCCAGGAAAAGTCTTCCAATCATGCAAGGCAAGTGTACCCTTATAAAAGACTTGGAATTTTTATTTTGAGGTCATGCTGCAAGTGGGCTTGGGCCCCTATCTTAGAGGTTATGGTCTCAGCCTTCCTGGATGATGCTGTGTGATGAAATGAGAAATGCCATCCTGTGTTTGGTGTAGTCTTCTGAGAAATTAAAAAGTTTTTTTTTTCCAGCCCTCTAACTCTAATATCTTAGCAAGTAGGCCAAGGAGTCTTACTGATAAAGTCCTTAACCTAATACTATCTGATATTGGCTCTCATGTTTTTTTCATCATCTCAAAGATCCATGTTCAGATCTTTTATTTTTCCCTCCTTTATGGAAATAAAAACATGATGCTTTGGTGTCAAGCTATCTGAATTATTGGGTTGTTCGGAAAGTTCTGTCCGTTTTTCACACTTTTCTTTCCACAAAGTTTATTCATTAACAACCACACCTTATTCTACTAAGTAGTCAACATCTGCATCCACAACCCTCTGCCAGCGATCCGGCAGGGCGTTGATGCCGTCCTTGTAGAATGTCTCAGGCTGGGAGTCGAAGAAGTGGCCGATCTCCATCTTGAGTGCGTTCTCATTGGCGAAGCTCTTCTCGCGTAGGTGCCGGTCGAGCGCGCGGAGGAGCCATGGCGCTATGTCCGGACTGTAAGCTGGGTGGGGCAGAACCTCATAGCCCAGCTGGAGAAGCTTGTCCCGTGTGCACTTCGCGGTATGCGGCCGCGCGTTATCGTGGAGGAAGAGAACACGGCCGTGCCTCGGGCGAACCAGAGCGAGTTGGTCGTCGAGACGCTGCAGTTGGTTGCAGTAGTACTGCGCAGTCACAGTCTGGTTGTGGGGCAGCACCTCCCAGAGGATGACGCCTTTGGCGTCCCACCAAACCGTCAACATGAGCTGCTTCGTGTGCAGATCAGGTTTCGGCTCTGGCTCCGGCTGCTGGTGCGTGCTCACCCATTGGCCATGGCGCGTACGGTTAATGTACAGGCACCACTTTTCGTCGCTAGTGATGACGTAGCGCAACCACTCGAAGTTGCGCGAGCGCGACAGCAAAGACGTGCAGATGTCCGAACGACGGTCACGGTCAGCTTGTGACAGTGCTAGCGATCCGGCAGGGCGTTGATGCCGTCCTTGTAGAATGTCTCAGGCTGGGAGTCGAAGAAGTGGCCGATCTCCATCTTGAGTGCGTTCTCATCGGCGAAGCTCTTCTCGCGTAGGTGCCGGTCGAGTGTGCGGAAGAGCCAGTAGTCTGATGGTGCTATGTCTGGACTGTAAGCTGGGTTGGGCAGAACCTCATAGCCCGGCTGGAGAAGCTCGTCCCGTGTGCACTTTGCGGTATGCAGCCGCGCGTTATCGTGGAGGAAGAGAACACGGCCGTGCCTCGGGCGAACCAGAGCAAGTTAGTCGTCGAGACGCTGCAGTTGGTTGCAGTAGTACTGTGCAGTCACAGTCTGGTTGTGGGGCAACACCTCCCAGAGGATGACGCCTTTGGCATCCCACCAAACCGTCAACATGAGCTTCTTTGCGTGTGGATCAAGTTTTGGCTCTGGCTCCGGCTGCTGGTGCGTGCTCACCCATTGGCCATGGCACGTACGGTTAATGTACAGGCACCACTTTTCGTCGCCAGTGATGACGTAGCACAACCACTCGAAGTTGTGCGAATGCAACAGCAAAGACGTGCAGATGTCCGAACGACGGTCACGGTCAGCTTGTGACAGTACATGGGGTACCCAACACCCCAGCTTAAGCACCTTTCCCAGGGCTAGGAGGTGGCTACATATGGTGCTATTGGCACATCCAAGTCTGGCCACCAAGGAATGGGTGGTCATTCTGGGATCAGCCTCGATCAGTCTGAGCAACTCATCGTCATCGACCTCGGAGGGCCGCCCAGACCTCGGGCTCATCTTGCAGGGTCCTGTCGCCCGCGCAAAACCTGGCGAACCATCTGCGACACGTACGTTCGCTGATGACGTCCTGGCCCATAGCTTGGCATATGCGGCGATGAGCCTGTACTGCAGAGCTTCCTAGATCGTGCTCATAAAGCAAACAGTGCAGGAGGTGCTCACGGTTTGACATCATTATAACCTAAAAAAAAAGTCGATAGGAGCAAAACAAAAGCATATTGATAAAATACGATAGCACACGCACATAAGGAAAAAATATGACCAAGCAAGAAAAATATTTGGGAAAAATACAGTATGTCAAAATTTTCGGACAGAACTTTCCGAACAACCCAATACTAGTTACCTTGAAATAATCATGGCACATATTATGACTTTCCATTTTCAGGGGTTAACAAATATGCAATTGATATGTGCATTCAGGTCACTTCACTGAATTATTTTTCTGGGGCAGAGGAGCACTCACACATTCTTGTGATCATTCTGCATGGCCGATTCCCAACCTCAACTGAATTCATATATTTTTCTGAGCATTTTTTATGTCTCTTGGGCCAGTCACATCCTCTCTTCTCTGTCAACTGTTGCTATCCCGAAAGGCTTCACTCCACAGTACTCTCTTTGTCCTTTTCCCCTTCTCTTCCTATTTTTGATCTACAATCATGTCACAAGAATTCTTAGGATGAGCCTTCTCTCATTACCACCCTTGACTTAGACAAGGGGTCCTGAGCCTGTGGACTGTGGTCAGGATCTGGAATTCAAGCTTCTATTCTTGAACTTTCACATTCTCTCTTTTTTTTGGGCCCCGTCTCTCTGCCTCCTCAGTGGCAGTCTGATTGCTGGAACATATGGGGGGGGCAGCTTATATTCCATTCTCTGTCTAAGACCCCAAGTATGTGGAAGACACTCAACCATCACACAGCTATGATGTTCTCCACTGGAGTTAGGCTCTTTTGTTCACTTGACACTCTTTTGTTCACATTCTCATACTTGGACTATTTCTCATATGTGGGTGTTGGGGTCAAGTGGAAATTATATGTAATGGTAATAACTTGTATCAGCTAACAGATTAAAAATCAAGAAATCCCTCTCTTATAATACAGCAGCAGGTTGCTATGGTACATTTGTTACCACTATCTAATAATGTGTCTGAGCACTAGAGTTGCCACCCATTCATTATTATGGACGGTACATATTTCAGATGCAATGTCCTTACTGCAAACTGTTCCTAATATGGACACTGTTTTGTCCATATTTTACACTAGTTAAGATTTTTCATTTAATAAAGCTTAATAGCAGCTAATATCGTTATTTTCTGTAAGTCAAAAGCAGTAGGTATAGTATCAATTGGTGCCTTGGCTTAAGGTGGCAACCCTACTGAGTGCAAAGGGGCTTACTGATTGCACAAGGCAAATAAGTTGGACTTCCAATGAAAGTGAAGAAAACAACCAGTTTTGCTGTCAAGGTACAAAAACACGAAGTACAAAAACGAAGGAGAAAATCACCGGAAAGTTTTTCTCTGGTGTCCTTACAGCTCACAGCACTAGGCATTCTGCTGTGCTTTACTGGGGAAAATGGCCAACCCAGTCGTACTGAGTGTCTCAGGGACATACTGAATACCTGCAAGCAACACCCTCTTGGGCAAAAAACATATTTATGGTCTGCATCCTCAGTTTTGATAAGGAGTTTAGTCTGTGCCAACTGCATATCACACCGCTTCTTAATATGATAGAGTTGCTTCAAGTTTTTCGAAGATCAAGAAAATAAAAAAGTTTGCATATACCATTTCCAGGACTTAAAAAAGAGAGGACCTATAACGGTTGAAGATCTTATGGTTTTTATGCTTTATGTCGCCAATGGATAGAGAAACTTTTGATTTAAGTGAAATGGTACAAAATCCATAGTGTCTTGTTCATCCGGCTACAAAATCCATAGTGTCTTGTTCATCCGGCTACAAAATCCATAGTGTCTTGTTCATCCGGCATGGATATCATGCACTTATGATTTGTACCACTAACACAATTTTCCAAGATCTTACCAGGATCAACGTTTCACTTGCTCAATTCGGTCATCAGTTTTCTGCGACATCGAAAGAGTTAGCAATTAATGTATACAAACCACCCAGCGAGTCTTGGAAGTCACCTATCCTGCCGAAATAGTGGCACCCTGCTGTCTATATAGGTGACTTCAATAGCCACCACACCGATTAGGGCTTTACCGAACCAAATGACGATGGTGAAAGGCTACTCGACTGGGCGTCATTGAATGACCTCACGTCGAGCCATGATGCCAAGCAGCGTGGAACTTTCCATTCGGCTCGCTGGCAGCGCGACTACTCCCCCGACCTTTGTTGGCTCCGTGCCCTCGATGGCCACCCTTTGTAAGCATTGCCCACTGTACTGGAGGACTTCTCACACGGCCACCACCGACTCATTGGTGCTCATTGGCCTTCAGCTTCCGGTTATGAAGAGCGCTAAAAAAAAAATTGTGCGTATCCCCTCCAACAACATCTAAATAGATTAAGGTTTTTGCGGTGCTATATTCAAGACGGCCACTGCTTCACGTGGCTATCAACCAGTCTTTACGCCCTGCCTTGATACAGAGTGTGCTGCACTTCTCAAGCAGTTCGAAGGGTCAGGAGAACAAGAGCTCGCAAGCAGCTTGATAGAGTCACTTGACGCTGCCCGACGCATCTGCTGGGAGGAAGCAACTTCTCAGCTCGACTTTTCGCGCAGTAGTAGGAAGGGATGATCGTTGGTTCGTCAACTAGGGGCAGCTCATATGCCTCCTCTTAAACGACGCCCTCAGGTTATCTTAAATGCACTTGCCAGCCACCTCCTGCGAGTAGCCAAGATAACCTGCGACAAGGGATTCGAGGAAAAGGAGGAAAAAAAAAACAGTTCCTGCTCAGTACCGATGACTGCTGCCCATCCCCTGCCTTCACCGCATCAAAGATTGAGGTTGCCCTCTGCCTGATGAAGTCAGGCATTACTCCGGGCATCGAAAACATCCCATCAAAATTCCTGGAGCATATTGGTCCCCGGGCGCAGAACTGTAACACCAAGTTCTTCACCCGGGCGCCGAGTGAGAATCGGATGCCAAAGATCTGGCACCAGGCGAAGGTGATGGCATTGTCAAAGCCTGGCGAAGACCCATGCCGTGCAGCGAGCTATGGACCGATCTCTTTGCTCAGCGGTTGCTATTCTAAGTTGCCGAAATGGCTAATCCTCCAACAAATCACACCGTCGATGGACACAGTTGAGTGTTGAACAGGCTGGCTTCCGCCATGACCGTAACACCTGCGACCGGGTGCTGGCGTTGTCCACCTTCATCGAGAGTGAGTTTCGGCGCCGATTGAAGACAGGTGCTGTTTTCTTCGACCTGACAGCAGCTTACGATACAATCTGGCACAGGCTTGAGGGATGCTACCACGCTAGACGGTCAACTCTGTGGAACTACTGCGACGCAACGGTCTACCCCAAGACTCGCCCTTACTCTCTTGAACATCTTTATTAATGACTTACCCCTGACGAAATCACGCAAGTTTGTCTTTGTTGACATCTGCCTTGGATTCCGATCACGTGGCTTCTCCAACTTAGAAGTCACCACGAACAAAGACCTGGTTTTTGTTGCAAGCTACCATCGACAATGGGATTATCGGCAGTCATTTGTTTCATTATCCGTGAAAATTGATGGAAACGTACGGCAGGAGAGAAATGATTCAGGAGGCGAAGGAGTTAGATATCCGTGCAATAAGTCGGAAGTACGATATCGGGGAAAGCTGTAGACGGAAGCGGGTCAAGAAGGCGAAAGTGAAAGAATCTCATGACCTTTCGTGGGGGGAAAGGGAGCAATTAAAGAAGGGAATCAAGAAGGAAGTGGCCGAATATATAGAAGAATAAGTCCGTATTTCTGTAATAAAGTCCACAAAAGTTTTCTTGCGTACGACGGTGGATTAATCAGCAACATTTATAAGCTTGTGTCAAGGTTGGAGATCCAGTTGGAAGCTGTTGGGGTAAGCTCATGGATATCGTCCAAGGTTCCTGCAAACGAACGGAGTGGGCACTGATGAATAATGTGCTGGATGATTTGGTCTCCGAAGCTACAGTCACGTCTGGGGTGGTCTTGGTTTTCCACCAGTGCAAGAGGTGGGCGCATCGGCCGTGCGAGGTGCGAATGCGGTTAAGCATGGTCCACTGCTTTCTTGGCAGGTCGAAGCCAGCAACTTCTGTGGTGGGATCAGAAACGAGTCTTTTGTTGGGGACGATGGCATTGGCATGACATGGCTTTCCACTGTTCCTCCAGGTCAGAGGAGAACGCGTCGAGAGCAATAGCCCTGACCCCGGGCGGGTTCCGGGATTTTAGCCGGGTCATTTGGTGGATTTTCTAGGTCCTCATTAATTGGAAGATCAGGGTTGGCTTTTATTCGGCTAAAGATGCGTGGTGTCTGCGCGTCTCTGCGGATGTTGGAAGGTGGAATATGGGAGAGCGTTGGTAGCCATTCGACAGGGGTGGATTTTAGAGTCCCCGAATTCAGACGCATCGATGCGTTGAGTTGGGCGTCCAAGCCCTCGGTGTGTGCACTGCTCGACCAAACGGGAGCACAGTATTCTGCAGGCGAGTAAACCAGTGCTAGTGACGCTGTTCGTAGTGTGCGCGCCCCGGCACCCCACGAGGTTCCGGCCAGTTTGCGCACGACACTGACCCTAGCCTTCACTTTGTCGCGTGTCCTTTCGAGGTGGGGTCTGAAGGTGAGGCTGCGGTCCAGGGTAACGCCTAAATATTTTGGCTTGGCCTCATTAGTTACTGGATGGACGCAGGAGACTTGAAGAGTCTCTCTAGCGACGCGATTGTCGAGGTGGAATGCAGTGACTGATGTTTTAGTCGGGTTTGGATGGAGTCTCCATCTTTGGAAGTACTTCGCCAAAGTGTCCAGGTCAGTGGTGAGGGTGTCGCCGATGGCGGAGAGTGTGGCACCCTGCGATGCGAGCGCAATATTGTCGGCGTAGACAAACTTTCTGGAGGTTGTTTGCGGTAGATCGCTCGTGCTGAGGTTTAAGAGCGACGGAGCAAGGACAGAACCTTGTGGCAGTCCGTTATTGCCCAGTTTAAAATCCCAACTGGACTATTCCAGCTGGGCCAAATCTGTAAATTCGGACCATTTCCAGCTGGCAAAGAGCTGGAAAATAGTAAATACCAGTTGTTTCTTAGCTGGAATTTTATCAAGAGGACCCTACAACTGGAATGTAGCTAAATTTACAGTTGAAAATCAGTTGTTCCTGTAGATGGACCTCTGACAAAAATAGTAAACAAAAAGGTTATAATTCAGTTAGTGATATAGCAATTAGGAACAAATCTGGAGATTACTACTTTCCAGCTGTTACCCAGTTGGAATAGGTCCGAATTTCCAGCTGGAGTCCAGCTGGAAATTATAGCTGTTTCCAGCCGGGATTTTAAACTGGGTGAGTATGCGGGGTCTGCTAATTTGTCCATTTAGGTAGACGCGGTATCTCCAGTCGCTTAACATGGCTGCGATGAAGCGAATCGTGCTGCGGCATCTGATGACTGTAAATGCTTTAAGAAGACCATCCTTCCATACGGTGTCGTATGCAGAGGAGAGATCGACCAGGGCAATGCCGATTTATTGTTTCCGCTAGAAACCGGCTTCTATGTGGCTTGTGAGAGCTAGTACCTGGTCGCAGCAGCTTCTGTGGGGGCGGAAACCAGCCTTTTCTTTCGGCAGAGTTGCCTCGATGGTCGATGTGAGGTGGACTAGTAGAGCCCTCTCCATCAGCTTGCTCGTGGTAGAGAAAAGAGATATCGGACGGTAGCTGGCGGGCTTGTCCGGTGGTTTTCCGAGCTTTAGTATGGCGATTACCTTTGCCTCTCGCCAGCTTTTTGGAATTTTTCCTGACGAGTGGATAGCAGTAAATAACCTCGCTATCCATTGTCGGCCTTTCTGTCCCAGAATCTTGAGAAATTCGTTAAAAGTAGGGAGTAAGACGGCAACCTTCACGTGATGCTCCTGTTAAGCGTTTGTGCGTGTAAACCCATCAACGCAACTAATGTCGTCAACAGGCCACCGGGCGTCGAGTCATCGATCTCCCGGTATGATCAGCAACAGCGAAAACCAAATCCACAATGAAGCATACCGTTTAAACATTTCGCTTCATTCTGGCAGCTTGTCAGTTTTTGGTATCGAAAGGATGGTCTATAAGTAAAACTAGAGGTGATCCTGACGCGAACTCGTACAATTGCAAGAGCAGACGGCATCTGACACCGAAAATTCATAGCATCACGAGGATGAGGATTCATGAAGCGAGTTGGATTTTCCCTTCGTAGGAAAACTTCAAATGGCTCAAATTTTTCCTAAAGAAATTCTTTTCTGGAAAGGCCCTCGGAGGAGGATGAGAGTTTCCCGAATGACTTTTCCACGCCGCCAGACATGTCAGATTCCAATTCCAATACCGAGTGAGGTCTGCGCGTTTTTGGCGCAGCCATTCCCTGTTCACTCTTTTTATTATCATTATTATTTTATAATTCCCCTATTCTGGCTGACTACAGACACTGTTTGCACCATAATAAGTGACCGATGAGTTATAGGTACGCTGAAAGTATTTTTTTCTCTTGAAAAAGAATTCCCCCCCCCCCCCAGTATAAGACCACATCGACCACGATAAAATATGAATTTAAAAAACGCGTCTTACACACGAGTAAATACGGCATTTTCTCAATTAAATTACAGGATTGGATCTTAAAGAATTTTGAAGATAGACTGGTGTTTGTAGTGATTTATAAATCACCAACTTAGTACACTGCACTTTTCCTTGCACCTTGCATATACCTGTAGCTGCTTCTGAAGTTAGAGGCAATATTAGCATTGAACTGTTCTGGTGCAAATCGCCAAAGGTTGCCAACACAAATCCTGAATGATGAATTCGCAGGAACGAATAATTGGGTAGATGCTCATAATTCAGCCAGGTGGAGTTTTTGATAAACAACAAGCACTTTATTGAATTTTCCTTCAAGACCACACAGTATGAGGCATGCAAATCGGAACATGCTAGGCTTCCTGATGAAAAACGTGCCAGCTCTCAATAACAAAATTCCGTTAAAGAACAACTTTGCACTCTTTTTGCCTTCAAATGAAGGAACAAATACGTCACTGCTGAAAAGAGAGTTGACTATTTGACAGCGATGATTTCACAGAACAAATGGGAACATGCAGTTCCTCTGGCAGATTCAATTTCATATTGAAAAAGGTTATGTCTTCAAACGAGATGCACTGGAAATTTTTTTTCTGTCATCTGAGCTATGAGAGGAGGAATCCAACTATTCATCACCAGGAGGAAGGGGTTCACTGTGCTTCTTTTCTGAGTACTCTCTCGCACGAGCTCGCCAATCTACTTTGGCCATGGAACGTGAATGCCCACTCTCACCTCTGCTCTTCTCATCTTTCCCATTCCTCCTGTGATGCCTCCTCCATCTTCCCGAGCGACTCCCTTTCGAACGATCCCCATCGCGACCTTTGCTTTTCTCCCACTCTTTACTGGGTTCTTCTCGTTCCTGGGTCCCTTGGCCACGGTATGGTTCCATGCGTGAAGATGTGTTGTACTTCTGATGATAATATTCACTACCAGCAGTTGTGTTGCTTGAATACATGCCAGGTTGTGATCCATGGGGGCCATAGGGTGGAAACTGACCCCGATATGGGCCAGGACCTGGGCCTGGGCCTGGGCCAGGACCAGGACCAGGGCCAGGACCAGGACCAGGGCCTGGACCAGGACCAGGGCCTGGACCTGGACCTGGACCTGGACCTGGACCAGGACCAGGACCTGGACCAAGACCTGGACCCAGGCCAAGGCCTGGACCTGGACCTGGGACTGGGCCCAGGCCTGGATTGGGGCCAGGACCAGGAATGGGGCCAGGACCAGGACCAGGAACGGGGCCAGGACCAGGTCCATAACCGGGAGTATTGTATTGCCGTCCATAACCTGGAAAACCATATGGAGGAGGTCCATATGCATAACCAGGGTATGATGGGGAGCCCATCATGTATCTAGGGTCAGGTGGGACTGGTCCTGGAATTGATGGTGCAGGAGGAGCTGGAGGAGACAATTGGGGTGGATGTGGTCCAGATCGATGTGGCATTGCACTTGATTCCTGGTATGTAGAATGTAATGCCTGTGGAGGGGGAGAAAGTGGGGACATGTCACCAGCATGCAGTTTCGGTGATTCTGCTCTCTCTGGAAATGCCGAATTTCTTGGACGGATCGTGCGAGGGTCAGCTCTTTCTAGGGCCATTGCCTGAGATCCTCCAAGGTTTCTGATAGAATCTGAGTCCGTTATGGTGGCTTCACCTGATGCCCTCCGTTGACCTGGATCATGCCTAGGGGGTGTTCCAATTGGGGACCTATGGAAAAAAAAGGTTTAAATTGGAAATGAAACATCTGCAACTATGGAAATACTGCTAGTAGAGTACATGATAACAAGAGATGTAAAGTTAGGAAGACCTCATGTCCATTGTAGACCATCACTTACAAGGCAGTGCATTCAAACAGGAAGTTTCAATTGTCTTCTATAACTATCAATGTAGTGTTACTAGTTTTAACTTCAATCCTAGCTCCCAGCAGACCTCAGACATTGGCAAACACAGGCAGTAACCACACATTCAGGCTAGGCTACCCAATATTCATAGCTACCCACCATCCAAATATTTGCATCAAACTTGCAGCCTTCCGCTGTGGCACACAATGATGTGTGCTTTTGCCTATAAAATTTGCTAATGCTCAAGATGATGATGTTGCAAGGTGGATTCAGGCAGCAGGCTCACACCTATCCATGAAGCATAAATTGATGAAACAATTTGCAGCTTCTTTATGAGAGGCATTCAAGAAGTTTCTGTCCTCAACCCCCTTTCTAACCTTTTAAAATATTCACTCTTCAACTTTTCTTTTGACAATCTATGATTTGTTTAACTGAGTTATTTGTTCATGTTTATACATTCATGTTTCAGAAGAGTGATCATGGGCCAATGTCAATGTAAAAAGCCCCTACTGAGCCCTTGTTATGTTTTTGACTTTGTCAACAAAGGAAAATTCATGAGTATATGCAAAACCCTTTCAGTCATGGTGGGACCCAGGAGTCCCACTTTTTTTGTCTATTATGCAGGGCTATATAGGAATGCACAACCTTGAGGCCTGGCAGGACTTCTGAGTCCCTGTGACCTCTTTTGGAATTTTTGTTTTGTGGTCAATGATGTTTCATTGGAGATGGTTGAATGAGAAAATTTTTTATTTTTACATCATTTACATTTTTCAATCCAGGACTGAAAGGGTTAATGTGTAAGGTGCTGATGCTACTTCCCACACAACTGTCAATATTGAGGGGATGAAATTCACAGAGGTAGAAAAAGTCTCAAGGATCATTCATAGTCAGGTTGGTCTTCTGAGTTGACTCAATAGAAACTATCCTGCACAACAAACTTGGCAGAAGTAAGGCACATGCCTGATGGGTTATATCAGTGGTCCCCAAACTTTTTAAGGCGAGGGCCCCACAGACGCTTTGGTCCACCTTGAGTGGGCCACACTAATAATGTTAGTCAACCTGGAGTGGGCCACAATGAAAAAGATGCAACACTTCTGCATGGTTAACCCTTCATATGGCCATCAATCAAGCTACTCTAAACCATGAAGTCCAATTTTAAAAATGAGCGGCAATCGAAAACTGCTTATTCCTGATGCACCCACCACACTTTCACCTTGCGGAGTCATGGAAACTGCCACTACTTGGAGTCAGGGCTCATGTAAATGCATCAGTTCTAGGTGCTGCTTCATTACAAGTTGTATTTTCGACATATATTCCTCTCCTTTTTTTTCTCCTTAACTTCACTTACTTACAAGGAAATACATTTTTTCTCTGCAGTATATGGATGCTCTGAATTTTATGCCAGTTTTATGCCAAGGTACACATCTAAATACATAATCATCAAAATTTTAACAAGTGTCTGAATATCTAAACAATGACTAAACTTGCTAGTTTTCAGTGAAGGATTCCAAATCTGGAATAAAAAAAGGTGTTCATTGCGATTATTCTTGAGTGCCAACAAAATGGTTAAAAGTGAAAAAGTCAATTATTGGTTACTCTTAGTGGGCTGCATAAAACCATCAAGCAGGCCACACTTTGAATACTGCTGGGTTATATGAACATGATGTATATATATACATCATGTTATTCATCTGATTTCAGAAGAGAATTTAAAATTCATAAATGTTGAATGGGATCTTGTCAATTGGCATCTGGTAAAAGGAGATGCATCTTCAACTCCCAGCTAAAACTGCTGGCACTCAACAGAAAATGATCCTGCATGGTTCTACTTTAAATGAAGTGAAACCCCAAGTCACATTGCTTCCCTGTGGCAATTCTGCAACCCAAAATGATACACTAGAATATTTCAAAGAAAGGAAAAGAAGCAAAGTGGTTCCCAAATTGACATCCACCTGCTTCATCAGAACTCCTATCAACCATTAAGCCTCAACATGTGAAATTCACATGATCTCAAAGACACAAGTACCATGAAAAAGCATGAATTAAAAAAAAAAGCAACAATACTGGACCCACCTTCTCTTCCTCCTGGGCTTCTCATCCGAAGGCTCTGTGGAAGAACCACCAAAGTTCCTCACTATAGGGTCAGCACTCAAAGTAGAAGCTTTGCCACTTCCTCTCCCTGCCTGTGCACTTAGGGGAAATAAGTTCTTCAAAGGTGATGGTAGTGATGCTGCATTTATAGGAGAATCATAAGCTGCAGTAGGACTATATGGCATTTCCAAATCTTCCATATCCATCTGAAAAGGAATACAGGATAAGACATTCAATTTCTCAAAACTAAAAGAAAGAAAAAGGTACCATATTACATATAACTGCAATTTCCATTATCTAAAGATCTGGAGAGGATAACAGATCAGCCTGACACATCACAGAATACTCCTGAATGCATATTTTTCTTTTGATGACATACTTAAAAAAATATACATATCTCCACATATTCTGAAACTTGCAGCCTAGGCCTATTTTTCTACCTGCAGAGAGACTGTGAAAAAAAAGAGCCCACTCAATCCCTTCCTGAACCATAATTTGACTACTTTAACTTGGTCAAAAGGGAAGTGAGGAGTAAAGGAGTACAAATTTAAAAGCACCTTTCATGACAATTATTGGATTCAGGTTTGTGCGTTTATGTAGCACATAGCAGTGCTGACCACTTTGTTCAACATGACAAAAATCCCCTCCCCTCCTTGGGTGATTGTTGCATGGAACATCATAAATTCATATTAAATCTTCTGAACCAGTTCCATCATATTTCAATCTTCCAAATCAATCCCTCAACATTGAGGTTCAATGTCTCCACCATTCACACCCTTTTCAAGATTCTTGTTGATTATTGGAGAACCATCTGAATCTCTGACTCTGTACTTGGTGCTTTGAGATTGGGCATTGATATAATTCTGTTGAAAAAAAGCATATGAATTTCTTGCTTAATTCAATAATGTGACACAAGAGGATGACTTTAGGCAGGGTTGGATTATGTCTCATCCTACTAGACCAAAGCACTGGATACATTTTCTTCCATCTTTCTCTACAAAATCTCTAATAAATGTGTAGATCTCTGACCGTTACAATCCATTCTCATCCTTATCTCACGTACAAGCCCAATGAAGGGATAAATTGATGTGAGAATGACATTCAATGGAAAATAAATATGGTATGGCCTGGATTATATGCAACCACAGCACTCCAGCATTGCCTCCACTCCCCTACTAGCACAAGTCCTGGTATATTTTTTATATCAAACTTCTTTTGATTGAAATTCTGACAATATGTTGGTAACACATTCATCTCTGCACACTGGGAGTTTCATGAAAATAGCTGCAGTGGAAGTAGAGATATATTCATTGTAAGAGTCACTGGTCTTTTTTTTCTCCATATACTTAATATCAGTTTATTAAGGGATTCAATCATTTGTCAATTGAAAGGTGCGATAATGGTTATAATCTGCATTTTTACTCAATTAACTATCAATAGCATTCCTAGTCACAACTATAGGGCAAGATTCAAACTTGCAAATGCCTTGCATTATAACAAATTCAATCAACTCCACAAACCTCAACTTGACTGGGACTGTATGGCTCATCTTCATTCTCTCCAAGAGATGAATTGATGTTCTCAATCTGCTTCCTCTTCCTTTCAATTTCTTTCTGGAGCTCAGCAATCTTCTTTGAAACATCGCTGCCACCATCTAACCACAGAAAGAAAAAGAATTTTGAGCATGAACATGTATTTGAATGAGCTCATGTTCTTAGTTCACAAACTTATGTTCACTCTCTTGTTGCATTAATCTATATTAAAGATACATCAATGAAGGTTCTTGACCCCCAAGGGTGGTTCCTTTCTCTATTTTAACACTAAGATGGACATTTTCAGAATACAGTTGACTCTCATTATAACGGCGGAAAGCACCAGGTCCAGATGTAGAGCCCATAAGGCATGTTACATTTTACCTCGGTTATAATGAAGTCCTTTCAAGGTCCCACTTACGAAACCAACAACGTTCATGTCCCTAATCTGTCATTCTTAACTGAAATTTCTGTCACCTGAAAAATGAGCGTTGGCGAGCCATAACTTTATATTTCCTGGATTTGACATTCCTTGAGAGTCATGTGGGTGTGGTTGAAGCAATGTTAGGGAGGGATAATTCCCAGTAACTAAGATCACCTTTTCTTCAGTTGCCATTTGCATTTCTCTTTGACAACATGGCCAATGGAAAACAAAAGAGGCAAGTCTTCATGATTGAAAGAAATGTGTGCTTGACTAGTTTAATAGAAGGTGCATGAAGTAAAGCTAACATCACTCGCAAACATGGACATCTGTTCATCTGTTTCCACAATTTGGGAAAATTGTGATGGCTTCATCCATGCTTAAAAGAACATGTCACAAAACAAGAAACTTTCTAGATCTGTTGAGATGACATCGACAAAGCCATGCTAAAGTATGAAGTAGTTCAAGGTCCAGAGAAAAGCAAACATCACAATTAGTGAGTCAATCTTGAAACTGAAGCTAGTCCAGTATGACCAATGTACACTGGAGTTGTAACATCAACATATAACATATAACATCAATTTTGAAAACAGGAAAACGGAATGCCAATAAAGGCAACCTCTGCTTCAGTAGCTTCCTGCAACATTGCCATTGGCTGTGAGCCAAAATAAATTACACAGCGAAAGGGTTAAATGTGTAAATGCTTCTGGAATTCAACCCTTTCAGACTCCAGTGTCCATTCCAATAAACTGCATTTTCATTGCATCTATGGTAATTTCTTGGGATTCTCATGACTTTGCCCCCATATTGTGCTACAATGGGGTGCAATGATGCATGGCTCTATTCCATCAGAGGCCTTCTCTCACCAAGCAGTTTTGTAATCTTCGGTTATGTAATTACATGTATAATACATAACATATGTATGGTATGGTAAATTTATACAATATATAAAAATGATATATAGAACATAAAAATTTTAAGTAGAATAGCAGAAGAGCTCAAAAATGCAAAAAAAAAATTATTCTGATAGTAGCCTTAATGCAGGTCTGAAAGGGTTAAAGGACATGGACCTCCCAAAGCCTTGTAAAATGAAACTTGCACGGGATCAATGGAACCCAACATATAGTCGCTGAAGTGCTTCATTCACTTGCATCTTCCATGTTCACATCCCCCATCACATGCACATTCACATTCCCCCTATCATGCAAATTCTGCACACACCAAATCTTAGGTTCTCATAAGCTGTGCAGCTGAAGACCAAGGTGGAGGGCTGAATAAAGATAAGGACCCTTCTGCACTTTCATCAAGAGGGAGAAAAAAAAATTACTTCCATCTGGACAGGGGGAAAATAAATTATATTGTGTAGTTTCTATCTGGGGACACAAATTTTCATTATATCCAAATTTTTTTAGCATGGGTGTCTATGAACATTTGGCCAGGCAATATCCAAGGATTTTGGTATAACCAGTTTTTTGTTATAACAGTACCAAGAGTCAACTGTATGAGGATCTTTTGATTATTTCACATAATAATCCATTATAATCCATAACTCTCTCAAGTTTGTTGAGAGTTATTTACATAAAACGCTAAAAACAATTCCAGGTGACCAGAGTGCACCTATTTTGGCCATCTTGCATCTAAAAATTTAGAAACTTACTATATCCACCAATCAACTTAGTAAATCCTCAGTGATGCCTCACAACATAAACCACAGATATAATGCATCCGTTTGAATCGTGGGTTGAGAGAGAGATAAGCAAAGGAAGACATAGCATTGTCAGGCAGCACTGGGACAAAAGGGAAAACTGAATAATTAATGAGTGGAGAGGGGGAATGAAGAAGGAAACCAGTGGCAGAGCTTCATCTCCTTTCATCTACAGCAGTGGTTCCAAACCTTTTCTTGCTGCGACCCTAAATTGGGCATCGACAGGACCTCGCGACCCTCAGGCTTATGATAAAAATTCAAATATGCATATCAATAGAAATACATACATGTATATATAATTATATTGATTTCATTATTTATTTACGAGTATATTCATGTATTAATTATTTAAAACTAAAGAAATGTATTGGGAATTCAGGTATAAATCAAGTTTATTGAATGTCTTGATGCATACAAATGCACATTAAACATCATCAGTAGTTCAATCATATACAAAAATTAATTTGAAAACAGGCAAAAATGCTAATTGAAACGAAAAAATGCTTTAAATATTTCTCAGAAATCCCCATTTAACCCAGACACCCATATCAACAAATAATTTTGATGAAAATGAGACACTTCATGTGAAGACGTTAGAAATCCTTCGGAATTCAGTGGCTACCCTGATGCTGCATTTTCTCGGTCAGTTTAGTTATCCTCGGCTGAATATTGATAGAGAGGGCACAGCGAAGGTCATGCTGCGGGTCAAGACGATTTCTTGCTCTTGTCTTGATTACAACCAGACTAGAA